TTCTTATTGCATCTTCTCAAGGATGCTATTTTGTTCTTTTTGTGGGAAGTTTAGCACCCCTCCCCATGGAAATAAAAAATTGTTTTCAAAGAAGAAATGATTCCTTTAGTTTTCCTACAATCCTAAACAACATCCCTCAAATACTGACCTATCCTCTCATCTCAGTTGAGTAAAAATATTAAGCTAAGTAGGATGGTTTCCAATGCTTTCCAACTTGAAAGTAACTTCTTTAAGACAGAGATAAAAATCTCGGAAATGGGACGTTAATCTACGTAACAATTGAAACTGACCTATAACTGCACATTAACAAGATATTTGCTTTCTACCTGCTTATTTTTTTTTACTTGTTATTGCCAGCAGTTTTCTAAAAAAAACATTCCGTTTCATAACTTTCATTCATCATAAATCTTCATCAAACATCATAAATCTTTAATGTTTAGACCACGGAATTCGTTAAGACTGGTTAATCTCGCAGACTTCATAAAATTTGGTATAATTGCAATAACAAAAACTTCAATAGTACAATTTATTTAGTTTAAATTTACCAATTCTTTCATACGTGCAATATTTTTTTCACTTGCAAATTTTTACTTCAAAATTTAAACATAAAAAAATTATTAATTTTCAGTCTTTAGACCAGGGTATAAATATATACAGTTTAAAAAATATATATTAATTAGAAAAGTATATAAATTTTGCTTTTTTCACATCAAAACTTTAAAATAATGATTAAAAGAATATAACTGAAAAAGAGGAAGAGAAGAACAAGGATTTTTTTAGCTGAAAATTAAAATTTAATGGAAAAGATATTTATTACATAAATGTGGCATGTGTACAGAATAAATGTAAATAGAATTTCTGAGGTTGAAAATAAATTGTAAAATTTGTATTTAAGAAAGAAAAAAATTTTTTAAAGCTTAAGTCGTATCTTAATTTTCAACTGTGTAAGTGTACCCATTTTCGTACCCATGAAAATGTGTTGTACCCATTTTCGAACTTATAAACTATTTTTACTGTTCATGTACTTCATTTCAATTTTCAAACTGTTGTTTACTTAAACTACAATGCAAAAATCTAATGCAATTTTTATCACAAAACATATTTATAATGAAACTACATAAATTATTTTATTAGTGTGATTGCTTTTTTTCGCCTTTTTATATGCCTTTATTAGTGTGTGTGTGCTTTTTCTTTCTTTCTTTTTTTTTATGTGCACCACAGTATTTTTTCATTTTTAATTGGTTATAAATTTATTTCGTTTAACTCATATCTGCAAGATTTAGAATAATCTCATCCATTTTTACTAATTTATTGTTACTAAGTTAAGAGCCTGTTTTTAAGTTTTTTGTTCATTCGTATCTCTTGTTCACTCGTTCTTTAGTTCACTGTATCTTTTGTTCATTTGTATCTTTGTTTTTTCTCAAAGGCGGAGGAGGGAAGGGAAGCTTCAGTTTTAAAAAAAAAAAAAGATTGGATAGATTGTGGTGGCGCCATCTACAGAAGTGTTATTAAAATATAAGAATTTTAAAAATGTTAAGTACTTCCTTTGTGTAAATTTGAAACTGAGTGCATTGAACTAGGAAAACGAATGCAAAAAGGATATATTTAAAATAATTCGTATTATGTTAGTAAATTTCAGGCAGAAAAACCCTCCTTTTGTTGATGATTTTGATCAAGTCTATTTCGCATTAAAGTTAAAAATATAGACCTAAAATTTTTAAAGCTTTTGAATTCACCAGACATAAGCTCATATGACGAAGCTTAATTATGACGGAAAATTTTCCGTCACTAAATAAATAGTGTCTCAGATCTTTTATAATTTCTTTAACTAATTGGGTCGTATTCTTTATATTGGGCACACTAATTGCGTCAGGTGTATGCTTGGGTAGCATTTTATTGTTTTCATGAAACCTTTCTTATGAATTTTTTATTAAATAATCATGTGAATATTTTACTCAGTTAATGAAAAATGAGTGAACAAAAGAGAAAAGCGATCTTAATATTAATTAATAATTTCAATAGCTGGGGAAAGGGAGGCGAAGAAGCACAGATTGTGTTAAATATGTAACACTTGTAATGCAAATTGTGCTTCTTCATGTTTTGTATAACCAGATTTGTTGCTTTCAGTGGTGTAACTAGTCTATAGTGATCCCTTTGGCATAGTTAAAATGTGCACCTTTTTTAAAAGCTAAGAGTTATTTCAAAGTGTAGCCTCCAGACAAGCAAGTTTGCTGCTGGAGTGAGGGGTTCTGGGTTCCAATCCCAGGAACGGACAAATTTTCAAAAAAAAATTTTTTTTTTTAAATTATATTATTTTTATAATGTGTTTTTCGATATTCTGGGGTATCCAGCATGAAGGAAATAATTATTTTTTACTGGGAAAATAGGAAAAATCCAGGAAAATCAGATTATTTGCTCTTTTTCGACTTCTTTTGAAACATTTTGGATATTATATCATGCATGGGGTGTTTTCTGCGTGTGAAATCCAGCAAAGAAAGCGTAATGGAAGCGTTATTTCTTAATAATATACTTTAAGAATTAATTAAAAGGGATTTAAATTGTATTTTTCGATTTTCTTAAATGTTTTTACTAGTCTGAAAGTTTCCACTCAGACGGTACTTTATGTTGTATTCCATTAGACATACTACAATTGATTAGTAATTTTCTGTGCACTTAATAGTATTTTTTCATAGAATTGTTTTCAGGATGTTCCGTAAAGACTACTGCTTGGATAAATTTCCATTCTAGAATTCTTGTCACAAAAAGTTAAAAAAAAAAAAAAAAAAAAAAAAAAAAAATGATCAAAAATTAACACATTAGGGGAGAAAAAGAAAATCAAATCATGATCAATCATCAATTGAAAAGGTGAGAGCAAAAATGTATGTTTATTTGCCGAAAAAAATATAGTGTAATTGAAAGACACTTCAAACTAAATTCGGTAATCAAACTGGTTTTAAAGTTTTAATTCCGTTTATCTTAATAGTGATTCTTACTACTTTCTTATCGTTTTTCCCTGCTTTTAAATGGTAGTTTGAGATTTATAATTTGTATANTAATTGCGTCAGGTGTATACTTGGGTTGCATTTTATTATTTTCATGAAATCTTTCTTATGAATTTTTTATTAAATAATCATGTGAATATTTTATTCACTTAATGAAAAATGAGTGAACAAAAGAGAAAAGCGATCTTAATATTATTTAATAATTTCAATAGTTGGGGAAAGGGAGGCGAAGAAGCACAGATTGCGTTAAATATGTAACACGTGTAATGCAAATTGTGCTTCTTCATGTTTTGTTGCTTTCAGTGGTGTAACTAGTCAAATGTGTTCCCTTTGGCATAGTTAAAATGTGCACCTTTTATAAAATCTAACAGTTACTTCAAAGTGTAGCCTCCAGACAAGCAAGTTTGCTGCTGGAGGGAGGGGTCCTGGGTTCGAATCCCAGGGACGGACACATTTTCAAAAAATTTTCTTTTTTTTTAAAATTATATTATTCTTATAATGTGTTTTTCGATATTCTGGAGGGTCCTGCATGTAGGAAATAATTTTTTTTTATCGGGAAAATGGGAAAAAACTAGAAAAATCCAGGAAAATCAGTTTATTTGCTCTTTTTCGACTTCTTTTGTAACATTTTGGATATTCTAGCATGCATGGGGTGTTTTCTGTGGGTGAAATCCAGCAAAGAAAGCGTAATGGAATAATAGAAAAAAAAGAATAAAAAAGTTAAATGGCTCGAGAAAGGTTCAAATTTCGAGACCCCCTAGCTCCCTTTAATATCAAGGTATAAACTCGGATCCTAAGTACCGGTCTATGGTCCAAACATGGCTGCTGAAGAGAATTTTTATAGGCCAATTAGGGGGATCACAGTGGGCCCCTAAAGGTATATTGCGAAGATGAGAGGAGAGAGCTTTTGAAGCGAAACTGTGGTAGGCTTCACGTATCACCGTGGACAGGATGGTAGGCCTCTAGACAAGTAAGTTCGCTGCTGGAGGGAGGAGTCATGTGTTCGAATCCCAGGGACGGACACATTTTCAAAATATTTTCTTTCTTTTTTTTTCAAATTATATTACTTTTATTAATGTGTTTTGCGATATTCTGGAGGGTCCTGCGTGTAAGAAATAATTTTTTTTATTCTGAAAATGAGAAAAAACTGGAAAAATCCAGGAGAATCAGTTTATTTGCTCTTTTTCGACTTCTTTTGTAACATCCAAAAGTCCAGCAAAGAAAGCGTAATGGAATAATATAAAAAAAAAAAGAATAAAAAAATAAAATGGCTCGAGAACGGTTCAAATTTCAAGACCCCCTAGCTCCCTTTAATATCAAGGTATAATTTTCAGACTCGGACCCTAAGTAGGGGTCTATGGTCCAAGCAAGGCTGCTGAAGATAATTTTTAAAGGCCAATTAGGGGGGTCACAGTGGGCCCCTAAATGTATATAGCGAAGATGAGAGGAGAGAGCTTTTGCAAACTATTGAAGATTATTAGATTCCTTGACCGACAATTTTTTTTTCTCGACGATCTTTAAATTTCTACTTCATTGCTCAAGCAATATTTGCGTCCCTGGCTGAAGTCAACCTTGCAGCTAGAACGGTACATCACTGATTGCTTTTAGTTTTGTTACTAATTATGACTTTTTCGTCATCGATTTATGGAATGTATCCTCTAAAAGCTCCATCAGCTTTAGTGTCTATACGAGTACTGACCAGAAAATTGTCCCGATTGCCAGGTATGTGCTCCTTGAAAATACAATTTTGGTACTAAACTCATGTTTGTGAAAATTGCAACACCATGAAGGACTTATGCAAGTGAGCTGAAATTTTCAGGAAATGCAAAGTAAAGCATAATATGCAAATGGTTAGAATTTCAGACCCGTAGCGCATGCGTATGCTGAGCAGCGCCCTCTGAACGGCGGATGGATCCGAATAAATAGACGGCTGTAGCGAGGCGTGTATGGTTATTGGTGGTTATCTGCTAGTGGTAAACGTTAGCTCAGACGTTACTTATGCCTCTTCGACGAAAGAGAGCCAGATTTCAACAACTTACGGAGTTTGAAAGGGGGAGAATCTTCAGCCTTCGTGAAGCTGGATTGTCTCATTGTGCAGTAGCCGCTCGTGTGCAGCGTAACAGCAGCACAGTGATGCGTGTTTGGAAGCAGTGGACAGACGAGTGTCAGACAACTCGGAAATCCGGGAGTGGACCCCGAAACGTCACGTCAGCTTGCGATGATAGACACTTGGTCCGCAAGGCGCTGACAGGCCATACGGCTCCCTCTAGACAACTGGCAGCACAGTTGTCAATAGCTACAGGTGTTTCATTGTGTGCTTCATTAATTCGTAGACGTCAACTTCAGCGTGGACTGCGCGCAAAGACTCCTTTATACAGGTTCACCATCACGCTAAACCATAGCCGCCTGCGGCTACAATGGGTCAATCAGCATAAGGACTGGCGTGCTGATTGGCAGCATGTCGTGCTTTCTGACGAATCCCGCTTTAATTTGTGGTACCATGATGGCCGCATTCGTGTCAGACGCTATGCCGNTTTCCTAATATTTATTACTCAGGGACTTAAAAAATCACCTTTTTGTGAGAATGACCCAACTTATTAATCATTATTTAAAAATTTTGTGCACAAGAATATTTAATAATTGTATTTTTTATTTAATTTTGTTTGAATTATGTCTTAATTTTCAAGTCATGTTGCGCAATTTTAAATAGTAATGTACAAAATTTGATCCCAATCAAACCAGTTGAATAGTTCATGAAAAATAAAGTTGTATTTTTAAATTTTTATTTCTTGGAAGGTTTTATTCGATTTCATTGAAAAATTGAGTTTCGTTTAACATAATATAAACTTTTTTTATACCTTATATTTCAAACAGTTTTTATCTTCCATCATTACTAAATTAAATAATAAAAATTAATATAATTATTCAAGTGATATCGTAATATATTTTATAACATTGCATACCTTTTCATTTTGAGTCGTGAAAAGTTACTTCATGTTGGAAACGTAAAAAAACACAAATGAGTTAAATTGACCATTGACCACTTAGAAAAGCAAGGAAAATGTTTGGATGCAAACTATTGAAGATTATTAGATTCTTTGACAGTCAATTTTTTTTCCCGACGAATTTTAAATTTCTACTTTATTGCTCAAGCAATATTTGCGTCCCAGGCTAAAGTCAGCCTTACAGCTAGCACGGTACATCACTGATTGCTTTTAGTTTTGTTACAAATTATGACTTTTTCGTCATCGATTTATGGAATGTATCCTCTAAAAGCTCCATCAGCTTTAGTGTCTATACGAGTACTGACCAGAAAATTGTCCTGATTGTCAGGTATGTGCTTCTTGAAAATACAATTTTGGTACTAGATAATATTTAAGTTAATATATTACATGTCAGTGTTTTTATTATTATTATTGTTTTTCCCTAAATGCGTTCTGCATGCATCATTTCGATTTAGTAGGGAAAATTGGTTCAAAGTCATCTTTCCAGATGTGTTGCTTTTAATTTTATTTTACAGATAATTACAACTTTTCAAATGATGAATTTTAGAATTTCTGGAGTATCTCTTTTGTAAGCTGTAATGTTCCTGAAACCATTGTAATGGATGTTTCATAGCTTTGAAATAAATTTGAATGTCTGTTCTTTTGTAATTTCTTTGGATAATTCTATATTAATTAGTTTTAATATATATACATACTGCCTCCAGGGCCCGACTTAGCCTAATTGGAGCCCGGGGCAAAAACTTCTTTGGGGGGCCCCCTCTGCTTCACTACTTCAGTAATGAAGAACTAAACCTTATAGAGGTATTTAAATTTTTCACCTCATAATACATATATAACAAGAAAATTAACTAGAACCTAAAATAGCTATAAATCCCCCCCCCCAATGGTCAGTTGAAATATCGTCCGGTCCATTTTATTAATTTTCTGACAATTTATTTTCCGTCATGCCGAAGGTAATTTTCTGATTGTTAATTTTGTCACCTAGCTGTGAAAAACCCATATCCAATTATATCCTTGCTGACATTATGGCGAAATTTAGCTAAACTTTCGCAATTATGGTGGCTCATTTAGGCCAATCAGAAGCATGTATTTTGTAAACATACCGCATTTTGCGATATGTAAAAATACAGGCTTTTGATTGGCCAAACGTGCCCATCGTAATTTCGAAAGTTTAGCTGAATTCCGCCCTAGAAAGTCATGGATTTACTTACGCATTATAGATTTTTTGTGTTCATACAATACATTAATGAAGAAGCCAACATAAAACTGACGGATTTTATTTTGTTTAAAGAAAAAGTTCATTACAGAAGGAAACCTAAAATGAACTTTTTATTCGAATTGGGGGCCCCCTCTGATGTGGGGCCCGGGGCAACTGCCCCGTATGCCCCTGCCTTAGTCAGGCTCTGACTGCCTCGTATGGATGAAATAAAGCATTAAATACATAAGAAAGTAAATTTTCATTTTCTTCTAATTAGATAGGCTTGTTTGGTTTACTCATTATTTTTATTCTTTATATATCTTATTTTCATTAATTTAAGTAGCATTATAGTGGAATCGTTTTTATTTATAGTATTTTTATTTTTTTGTTCATGCAGCAAATTATTCCTTTGTTTAGTTTCTAATAACGCAAATGATCAATTGCTAGTGAATGTTCTTATGTATTATTTTATTACCTTCATTAAATTTCAATTACTTTACATTCGTTAAAAGTTTTAGATTTCGTGTTTACACTTATTATTTGTGAGATATTGCTAAGAAAATATTATTATAAATGACATTTTTAAAATTAATATTATAGTTTATATGAAGTGACTAGTAATTAAATAGTTGAGAAGAAGCACACATTGTGTTAAATATATAAGAATTGTAATGCAAATTGTGATTCTTCATGTTGTGTATATCCAGCTGTGTTGATTTTAGTTTTGTTGCAGGTTATGACTTTCTTGCCATTGTGGTTTATGGAATGTATCTTCTAAGAGTTTCTTCATCTGCTTCAGTGTCCGTACTGTATTTTTCACGACTCTGACCTGAGAATTGTCATGGTTGCCAGGCCAGTGCTTGTTGGAAATACCGTTCTGGATCCTTCAGTACTGTAAAGATTTTTCTAGCAATTCTTGGTTTGTTTATTCGGTGTCGTCCTGATTTAATGAGACGGAAATGTTGGATTGGTATGTATTTCTATTGCTTGTGAGTAATATTGAATATAATTATGCTTAAAACACTGATATTTGTCTTAATGATATGGATAATAATACTTAGGTTAATTACAGAGTTAATATATTGCATGGCAGTGTTTCCTTTCATTGACTTTCTCTAAGTGCTTTGAATCATTTTAATTTGGTAGGAAAAATTGGAACAGAGTTATCTTTCTAGATTTTTTGCTTTTAATTTTGTTGTAGATCATTACAACCTTCATATACATTTTCAGAAGATGAATTTTAGAAATTCCGGAGCATAGTTAGATAATATGGAAGCCGCGGATACATTGGTGGTGATTCTCGAATTCTGCAGATACTTTTTTAACATTTATTGTAAATAAAAAAAAATATCCGCGCAAGCAAAAATAAAGTATTGCAGTGGGGGGAAGAAAATACGAAGCAGATATCGTAATCATAATATAGGCAAGGTAGCAGTCTGACTAAGGCAGGGGCATACGGGGCAGTTGCCCCGGGCACTCACAACAGAAAGGGAGGGGGGTAAATAAGTTTATTTTACGTTTACTTCTTTAATGAACTTTTTTTTAAAACAAAATACCAGTACAGTATGAAATCCATTTTATGTTAGATTCTTCATTAATCTATCGTATGAACACAAAAAGTTATATTTCGTAAATCCATGGCTTTCTAGGGCGGAATTCAGCTAAATTTTCGCAATTACGATTGACAAATTTGGCCAAAAAGCCTATTTTTTTACGTATCGCAAAATGCGATGCGTTGTCAAAAGTACGGGCTTCTGATTGGCATAATCGAGCTATCATAATTGCGAAAATTTAGCTGAATTCCGCCCTAAAGTCAGTAAGGATATGCATTTTTCGCAACTAGAAGACAAAGTTAAAAATCAGTTATCCCTTTGTTGATCGTTTTATACTGCTTTAATTTAGTTAATTTAAAGAAAATAATAACTCCGTTAAAATAACATTGCTTTACTTTTCCTAATTATAAATTTAAATAGCATTTTTGTCAAATTTTAGCTCTTCAGATGTGCTATATCCTTTTAATGATGGACAAAATTGACAGAAAATCAATAAAATAGACAGAACGATATTTCGCCTGACCATTGAAGGGGAGGGGGCTTTATAACTATTTTAGGGTCTAATCAATTTTCTTGTTATATATCTATAATGAGGTGGAAAATTTAAAGTTCGGTTTCTCATCTCTGAAGTAGTGAAACAAATGGTGCCCCAATCAGGTAAAGTCAGGCCCTGCAAGGTAGAAGAAAGAATTGTATGCATGCTGCCCAAAGATTAGCGATCCCATCGCTAGTGGTCGAGCCTGCAATCAGCTGATTTTTTCCAACTCAACTTGACGCGACTATCGCTTTGCAATGAAAATAGACGATTGCGGTGACAGTAGAATATCTTTTCATATATTTTCGTTTGAAGCGAAATTACTAATATTACGTAATATGATAATTACTTTTTATGAATGTAGTTCTTATGTATAACAATAAATATTAATCTTTCTCTAATGTTCTTAATGGTGATGTGCATGTATATATATATTGTCTGAAATAAATAAAAATATTAAATAAATAACTGTTTTCGCATATTTAATAAAATTATTCTATTATCAAAAATATTATGAGGTTGCAGATACTTTTGGATTGTGTGCGCAGATACTTTTTCTTACTATATTTTGGAGTATCTCTTTTTGTAAGCTGTTCCTGACGCCATTGTGATGAATGTTTTATAGCTTTGAAATAAACTTAAATGGCTGTATCTTTATCGTTTCGTGAGGTAATTCTATATTAGTAACCCCGTGGCAGAATCGCGGCGACATTGACGCAGAATGTTACAGAATTCTAGCAGAAAAAATTTCCGTTAGGAGGTAAAAAATTTTGGTTTTCTTTTCTGTAGAAATTTTTGAAAAAATTTTTTCCCACGAAAATTATTTTTTTTCACTCATCGAAGGGAAAAGAAATGTCCGAGATTTTTTTTATTCTTATTTGAGAAAAATGAAAAATAAAGAATAATGAAGTGAAATATTTCTTTTCTGCAGAAATGTTCGAAATATTTTTTTTCTCCATAATTATATTCAAAACATGCCTCTTAAGCGCATCAGAGGGGAAAGAAATGCTCGTGATTTTTCTATTCATATTAGGAATTAATGAAAAATAAAGAATAATGAAGTAAAAAAAATTTTGCTTTTCCTTTCTACCGAGATTTTCAAAAGATTTTTTTTTCTCCTGAATTATTATATAACACCGTCTATTATATAACGAAACTTTTACTTCATTTTTCAAAAAAATTCCTTTCAAGAAAGAAAAGAAATGCTCGTAATTTTTCGATTCTTATTTTAGAATACAAAATTTCTATAATGACTGGTTTCAGCTAAAATTTCAATTCGAAAATATAAGGTGGGGGGGGAGAAGTGAAATAACGAAAGTTGAAAAGATAGTTCCGTTCTAGAAATCATGTTCTTTCATTCATATTTTTCTTCCCTACAGTACAGTACGTAAAGTACACTATTTTACATTTTAATAAAATTTGATTACAAGTGAGAAGTTTGTTACAACGTATTTCCTACTTACGTTTTTTTAGTTTGGTTAAAAATAAATAGATCCAATATTTTTTTTAAAAAATTACCACATGAAAATTTTAAATCACGCATTTGAGTTTTTACTTTTTCGCTCACAACTCGCGCTGATTCCATCGTAAATATATGTAGAGTTTTGATTTTTTTTTGCAATAATTTCTACGAACTTTTGCTTTTTATTTTCGTAATCCCGATGTCCTTCATAGCTCATTCTCGCGAATTTTTGAAATATGAAGATATTATTACGGCACGCGAAATTCGAATCGCGGATTTAAGAAATCATTCTTTGACACGATCGTTTTGTGCCGATATTCTCGTTAATCCATGTAGTATTTCAATCGTTCTTTCGACAGTCATTGCTAGGAATTTTCACATTGTTTTTATAAAATTCAATTATACGCGAAACTCAAATAAGTTATTTACTTTTAATTGTGGCGATTTCATCGTTTTTTTTCGACTTTTTATTGCTTTTTATTGTTAATATTATTGCTACACGTAAAATTTAAATTGCGCATTTAAATAATCACTTTTTGACGCGCTCATTCTATGCCGATACTATCGCGAATCCATGTAGTGTTAAAATTATATTTTCAATCGTTATTGATTTTCACGTAGCTTTTAAATATCCCGATATATTTCTGACAATATGGGAAATTCGAATAGCGCGTGTGAATATTTAATTTTTAAAGCAATGATTATATCGCTTTTTTTGGGGGGGGGGCATTTATTTTCCCAGCTTTAATTAAATCCCACATTTTTAATACGATATTATTTATTACAACAACCGAATCTCGAAACAAAGCACGCATTTAATACCTCCTTTTTGGAGAGTCCGATTCTCGCGAATTCGCCGTCGATCTTTTTTTCGGTAGTTACTGCTACAGATTTCCCGTCCCGCAGTGGACTGATCGTTAAGACACGGTTCCCAGCTGATCACACGAAGTCAAGCATCACTGACTGCGGTCAGCGTGCGGGTGGGTGACCACTTGGATCAGTCTGCGTAGGGACCGAGGGTGCGCGGTATTGGTCCTCGTTAAACTGTTCTACTGTAAAGTGCTCGACTTCATGTGTAGGTCGAAGCAGGGGTGCCATCCCCTCTGCAGAGGATCAAAATTGTGATGGCTTGTCATCGGATCATCCTCAGGGATGTTTCCCAGACCGTCGCCAATAGTCCATTGTGCAGCTCTAGTGCGACGTAAATTAACTACAACAACAGCTACAGATTTGACGATTATTAATTTTTTAAAATTTTTATATGACGATAATTTGCGAAGTACGAAAAAGGAAATAATTAGTGTGTTTTCCTCCAACAATATTTGAGAATATCACACATGATATTAGAGTAATAAAAAAAAATATTATATATTCATTTAAATATATATATATACACACAATTTTATTTTATAAAATTGTTTTTTTTTCTCGCAAACACAACGTATCTGTTACTTTAAATTAGTAACATGTACATTTTTTATTGTTAGAAGTATCTTGCAGAACTATATTAGTGGTAGACAGGTCTGTCGCAGAAAACCCAAAAAAATTTTGCCACAGGGAATTAGTGATGTTAGTTTTAATATATATCAATCAACTGTGATTGTAATTTTAAAAAAAAATCTCATGTCGTAAATACAAAAAAAAAAAAAAAAAAAAAAAAAAAAAAAAAAAAAAAAAAAAAAAAAAANAAAAAAAAAAAAAAAAATAGATAATAAATATATTCTTTAGGTTGTGATTTATTTTCGAAGTTCGATTTCATTGATAATGCAAGATTATCCTAAGAAATAATAAAAGGAGGATGTATGTAAATTATTTTAAAATGGACTAATTAATAATGAAAGAAAAAATGTATAAAAGTAACTTAAATTTTTTAAATCATAATTTCTATTAGATGAATGAAAAATAATTTGATTGTTATAATAAACATATTTCAATTGAACACATTTAGTTTTGTTTACTTAAACAAAAATGCTTTTAAAACTTATTCTGCTCTGAGTAACTGAAAATATTTTCTTTTCCTTTACGTTTTTTGATCTTAACATCCTTGGATATTTTCCATTGAATATTTAATTAAGGACTAATTAGGCTGTTGAGCTTGATCAAAATTTTAATTATTCAGGGATTTGAAATAATTAAATAATTTTAAAAATTTTAGTGAGAAGTATTAACTACTTCAGCTACTATTTTACATGATTATTTATGTTACATAAATATTATTAATGCATTTTATCAGATGCTCTGGTGAGTAAATGTTAAAACATAAAAAATCTAATTTAAAAAAATATATAATTTTTTTTAAAACTGTAATTTCCCTGTAATTTCATTTAAATCGTGTTTTACCATAATTATAGAACAAAAATCTTATTGTTAATTAAAAGACGTTATTTTAATTAAAATTAATTGGGGATATAAAATTCTGAGGATTATAGAAAAAAGCAGAGTTGGAAGCTCTTATAACTTTCACCCCTTTTATTAGAAGAGATTTTTTTTGGCCACAGTCATTTGAAAGTGAGTGTAATGTTTTTTCTCATCAGAAGAGAAAAATTTGACTCATTTAGTGACTCTTAATTCTGGCCAAATCAATCAGTCAATTTAAATCTACAACTCAATGCAGAATTTACTGCTTTTTAATTTTGGTGAATACAAAATTTTGTGTCCGAAGCATCGTTTAGATGTTATGAGCCAAAAACTGAAAAATGCTTAAAAATTCGCAATTTTCAAGTGTTTAGCTCACAACAGAAAACGTCTCCAACTCCTATAATTCCTAACCGAGATGACTCAAGTGAAATAAAATCATTTCCAGTTTTCTGAGAATTAGTTCAAGGCACAGTGTTTTTTCAGTCTAATTTAGGCTTTTAGTCTACTTCAGTATAATTTCTTAATCTATTAAAACTAGGTTATTTAGTCTACTCCAGCACATTTTTTTGTAAGAGAATTGGTAACTTATCATTTTGCTTGTTACCACTAATGATAACTTTATGAGGAGTAATGTAAATAGCAGCATAAATGCCTGAAGAAAGTTGTGAACTGACTGATATATTTTTAATATACTAATTTTTTAAGAAATCTGACTAAATCTTCTAAGTATGAAGTTTGTTTATTTTTATAGTATAATTTGAAGACATTTGCTGAATTTTGAAAGTGTTTACATCTTTGAAAATTACTCATGGAAAATAAAGTTGCAATTCGCAACAATGATACATAAATTATGTTAAAAAGCTGTAATACTTTTATCAGATAAAAGCAAGTTAAAATAAATTTAATACTTTTGATATACAATCATACATATAATAAAAATTGCATAGAATCCAACTTTCTCAATCATTTGTACTACATTATCTTTTTTCATGGAGTCTCTTTAGGCAAATGCTTGAACTAAGGTAGCTGCATTTCATTTTGAAATTACGTTCTCAAAGAGCATTAAGCTTTGTTGACATTAATTACTTGTATTGAGTGATCTGAAATTGATATTGCTGTTATAAATAAGTGAACAAAACAGAATATTCCATCGCTTTACTTTTTTTCTCTCAATGTGAGATGAAAACATAGTCACAAAAATCATACCAAAACAATCACAGTACTTTTTCTTTCTAAATACAGCTCAGTGGAATACACTAAGTAAAAAATGTAAGACTTATTAAAACGTACATAAAAAAAGATACATGAAAAATGGTATCTTGTAAAATAATTGAGTTTAGTATGTAAAAATATACAATGCAATTAATTTGACTAATTGAAATCTAATTAAAGTTCGATTAGAGTTTTGCTTTCTCAGGTTTCAATAGTGGGCAAGGAATATGTATGTATGGAGGCACTAAAGGATACAACGGAGAGGAATTCTTGAATTCGTTAACATTTTCGATTTTGATTGGTCGCTGTGGAGAAAAAGAATTTTTAGAATTAGCATTTGTTATACAAACTGTTACACGGGAAATAAAATTTATTAAAGAACGCAGAAGTTACCCTGAATCCAGGAGGAGGGGGAATCAAGCCATCATTTGTTGGATCCAAGTCAGGCACACAAGGAAATTCTCCATCGATGTAATCATTTGCAGATTTACAATTCGTTGATAATATATGAACAGATAACTTTTTGCGTTTTGGTGCATCACAAGAAACTAGCTCCTAAATGTTAAAAAAAGAATTTATTTTCCGTAATCACAGTGAAAATATATTGAGATTTGAATAACATATATTAACAAAACTAGCAGTTATGTTAACAAAAATATTCTTCATACATATTTTAATCACATACTTACTCCTTAGATTACAATTCCACAAAATTAAACATAACTGAAGAAGAATTAGTAGGTTGCCAATTATATTTAAAGGTATACAGTACAGGTCAAAAAAGTGGGATAAGTTCAAAAAAAATTTTTTACAGTGTTATTAGAAACAATTTTAACTTTTGAGTCAAATAATTTAAGTGACAATTTCACATTTTTAGAAGTACTGTAAATACAAGGAACTACAGATATAATTAACTATGTTTCAAAAATTCTGAAGTTTCATCACATTTGAGTGTGATGTCCTATATGTACCAGCTTTACTTTAGGAAGTCTCTACTTAAAGATTTTGCTTCATTTGATTCAGATTTTGCAGATAATTCTAGCAGTAACAGCTGTAATTTTAGTATCCTGTAACAAGAATCTTAATAAGAACACTTAAGGCTAAACACTTCTCCAATATGGAAAACAATTCAATACCTTGGAGAACAGTGCATCAAAGTTCTTAAAGAAATGAAAAAATCATAAGAGTGCTGAAGCCTCGTAAGTCTAGATAGCCTTATTCTAAATCAAATTTTCTTTCTTTTTTGAAAACACACAGATGTTTTCCTAGTTATATGATCTTCCTTGACTGGCCAAGCCAAATACTAAACTTCATAATGAGAAGATATGGGCTGAGCTGGAGAAGATCCCTTTTTCCTTCATCCAAATCATCTTGACTTTACGTCATGCAGGTGCCAAGCTGTTACCTAGGTGTCAGCTCTTATGCTTTTCCGAGAGGATTTTCTTTTTATGTTTAAATTGGTAGAAAAATTTGATTTTAAATTATGTCCTGATTTATTTGACCACTATTACACATAAATCATTTAACATGTATATAGAAGGTCTGATACTCATTTGATTCAAACTTCAGATGTGGATGAATTTTAAAAAATTTCTACTTGTATTAAACCAGAGCAATTTTATTTTACTACTTCTAAGAAAAATCTTCCTTAAAAATACAATTGTAGTCAGCTATACCGTTATTGATGCCAAGAGGTTTGTCACCAAATAGTTATATGTAATTATTTGTAGTCTTTGCTAATTAGTAAACTTTTAAAAAACATCAATTTGTTATTAAAAATCAGACATTGTATGACAATAATAACATTCTTTCATCCCATATTGTGCATTCTGGTTTCCTTTAAATTTAATATCTTCAGAGAAGGATAATTAAGAAAAGGTCGAATCTGTGGATTCACTGATAAAAAAAATCCTGCACCTTATCACAAGTTATACACCCTACTTCTTTTCGGCATATTTATGCAAACAGGTAGAAAATATTATGCTCTCATTGAAATTTAGCTTATTTCTATATGTCATAACTTCAAAATAAATAAACTATACACAGAAAGCCATAGTCAAATTCCACCTGCATTACTATAGTATCCCTATGAAAAACTTCTTTAAAAACTGAATTACATTTAAAAATGTAACTTACATTAAAAATGCAAATGTAAAAAAAAAGAAATTTATGAACGATGTTTTGAGCTAAAATGATGATTATTTAGTCTTTGAGATGCTTAAGTCTAAAAATAATAAAATATCCTTATAACTTACAATTAAATATGATTAGAATTAGTAACGTCAACCAAGTTGTTCATAAAAATGTCACTCATTTATTATCTCTATTTTATAATATAGTTTCATAGCAAATAAAGATTCTTCTGTATCTACCAATAATCTGGAATGTTGGGATCATCAAGTATCCTGAATGTCCGAATTTCTCGTTTTTATGGATCACTAAAAACGATTCAATACAGCTTAATATCCCTACTTTATTGAATAAATAGAAAAATAGCCGATTTATTATTCTAATTAAAATTAATATTTTCACTTCACTCTATTGACTTTATTATATTGATATAGTAAAACACAGCAATGTATTTTTCTTATTATTTCCCTACAATCTTCTATTTACTGATATTTCCTCCTCCTAAATAGAAGCAAAAAAGGAAATAATTTGTGTCATCTGATTTTGTTTACGAGATACAGTGTGTGAAAAAAGTATAGGGACAATATTTAATTGCATGAAAATATGCTTTATTTTCATTTCACCTAAATGAAATTTCGTTATGTTTGACTTCTGTTACATAATTTTGTAATAACACTTAAAGCGCATGGAAAAAAAATTTGGCTTAACAATACGGATATAATAAAACATGGATTTTAAAAATATTTACACTAAAGAATAATGGAGAAAAAAAGCATAAGAAGATGTTCAAAAATACTTAACATTTTTTTCAATAATAAAAAAAAAAAAAAAATTTCAATCACTTGAATAAGTCGTAAGGTCCCGGATCATAAAGGATATTTTTAAAAGTCCGAAGAAATTTTTTCTCAAGAGTCTTTGATAGGAGTCATCAAAGATAAAATCCTGTGCGCATTGATATTGAGTAGCATTTTTATAAACTTCTCGGCTCCTTGAGGATTAAATTAAGATCGAGACTCCTCACCGGCCAATCAAATAAATCTACAGAATTAGCTTTAAACCGAAGTTTTGCGCTCTTATAAATGTGTATGGAAGCTTTATCCTGGCAAAAGTGTAGAGCTCTGAAGTAATCTATGGCACTTCAGGTTTCTCCTAACATGTCAACATATCTATTCAAATTTATTTTACTGTTGATAAATACTAGTGGAGTGGATTCATATGCCGCAAAAACACTCCAAACCATCACTATGCCACCACCATATTGATGTTTGGAAAACACTTCTTTGGTCTTCTGCAAACCATACCAAAAGTAACAAATACCATCAAGTCTATCAAGGTTGAACTTCTATTTGTCAGAAAAATTACATCAGTTCATTTTTGACTGAGAGAAATGAATTTTTTGGCACAGTCAACTCTTCTTTTCTTATGATGATTGGACGTGATACTAATTTTCCACAAAAAAGAAGAGGATGTTTATTTAAAACATTTTGAACAGTCCTTGATGAACATGGTAAATTCAAATTTTATCAAACTTCATTTGCAGTTTCTTTTTCCGTCAAAAATTATTCTTACAATCATTATTTGTTTGTCAACGAGTGCAAATTTTGGATCTCCCAGTTCGTTTTCTTATGCCATTCATACTAGGAGTTTTGGAGAATTATAAACTACCATTTCAGATCGCTTCCTTTTTTAAATATCTCAAACATTTAATCTGCATTTTAAAAAAGCATAAATTTTCCATCATTCAGAGCCAGAAAAATGAGTTTCTTTGGGCATCATTGAAAAGTCTCAAAGAAAGTTTGATAAGTACAAAATTTCTTTCACAAACCACTCCTTTAACCTGGGGTTGTCATTTTCTGTTTCTAAATATGCAAATCTTTCAATAATTATGGAAGAAAAAACAATGTCCTTATACTTTTTTTCAATATCATTTGGATTTAAAAATTTGAAATGTAAATTCAAACAAAATTATATATGGAAATTTTAATTAGTTCAGGCAAGCAGTAACTTTACTTCTATTTTTACTTAAAAAATTGTCCACGATTCCATAAACAAGACTTCTAAAATCAGCGATTTTTTGCATTTCGTTCTATTTTTTTTGCACACTGTTGAAAAATAAAGGGTCAAAATATCTCTATTCTATCCCGCAATCAATATGGCAGAGACTGGTTTGAGAAGAATTTTTCTTGTTTTGCGCAGCCCTATTCTACCCGCGATTAAGTCATTCCAATGGCAGTCATCAAGAATTGAACAGACAGCATTAATTTTTCTACCAGGCTGAGAGTGATGTTTTACAACATTTAGCACCAATATGCATACTACCACTTTTAAGTTTCATCAAGTGATTTTACGCATAAGCTCTCGGCGTCTCTTGTTAAATGATGGTTTAATTAGAGTATGTTTAATCCGAAGTTCAGCAATTTTTTTTAACAAAAATAAAAAACACTTTAAATAAAAACTTATTTTCAGTGATGTTCAAACAAATTTTGTCAGATTTAGGTGGTGACAAAAGGTTTGGAACTAGTTACTTGGGTCAGTAATTTGCTCACAGAAAGTTTTTCAATTGAGATTTTAGGTTCATTTCATTCTAAAGTTTGCCGCTCCTTTATGTTTGATTGAACAGGGAGAAAAAGAATCCCACAACTTTCCATCTACTCAGGTTTGAGGATGACTCAGTCATTCTAATTAAAATGACAGGAAAAGCGAGCTAAGTTTTTCCTGGTTTTCTGGAAACAGGATAAAAGGTTTAATACTGTACCATTAACTATATTCTTACTAAATTATTAAATAGCCTATTTCAGCACTTTTAGTATTCTAATTAAAAATTCATATTTCCACTTCACATTTTTTACTTTATTACATAAAAAAGCTAAGTCATGTATTTTTTAAAACTCTTCCACAGTTTGTTCCCTGTTAAGCATGTATAAGATATTTCCTCCTCATAAATCAAAGCCCTCTACACCTTTTCCTGTAATTAGCTTCAAGGATGACTGGAATTTTCGTATCTTGAATCAATCATTCTAGTTCAGAATGGTAGGAAAACCAAACAAAATATTTCCCAATTTTCTTTCTTTTCGTTCTTTTTTTGGCTTTTTTGGATACAGGATAAATAATTCAGTGTTGTATTAGACTCTACGTTCAAAAAAGCTTAGTTCAGCTCTTATTGAATTACAAATTCAATATTAATTCTAAAATCATGCTCTTGCTGATTATAAACATATACTTTTCCTATTTAATCCTGAACAAAAATTGTTATTACCATGCAAATCAAAAGACAAATTTATTACATGACAAATAAGATTCATATGCATAAGCTCTTGGCCTGACTTGTTTAATCGTGGTTTAATTAGAATACTTTTCATCTGGAGAAAAAGCTTTTTTTTAAAAAAGAAACATTTAAATATTTTATAAAATAAAAACTTCTAATAAATACAGAGATTTTCAAACAAATTTTGTCAGAATTAGGTGGCAAAAAAAGGGTTGAAACTAGTTAAACAAATCAATAATTCAAATCAATTTTATCATATCAGGCAACAAAAGAAGGAAAACTATATACCTTGAAAAATAAAATCAATTCATCTTTGGTAATTGTAGCAAGAACAGCAACTTCTAGTGGATCTAAGGAAAATAAATAGTTAGTGAAAAATATAAACATTCTAAGATTTAAAAAGTCTTAAAAATTGAAACCAGACATGTCACTTTTTAGAAATACCCATCTGGAGCAGTAATCATGATCGACACTGATAAACAAACCATAACATGAAACAATACTCCATTCTTTAAGTTATTGATAGTTTTAAAATTGAATGCATATATTTAAATATTTCTTGCATTTAAAGAAACATTAAAAAATTTACTATTAAAAAATTTACTCACGAAAATAAGACAAAGAACAAAGGTTTGCAAGATGATTTTAATTGTAATTAATATTATTAAATTGCAAGCAAATTATAACTGACTGAAATTAATATAAAAAGAACAAGATTAATAGTATCATACCTTTGAGTTGATCAATTTAATTTTGCACAAATTCAGTCTTACGAAATGTGGTAGAATGCTTGCAAAAAAGAGCAAATACAATTGTGTTAAAGGATTCTCAAAATTTTTCCTAAATTTCATCAAAGCTTCATATTCATGAATTTCTTTTGCACAAAAAACATGTTCAAATCTTCCCACTGCTGTAGGACTCTATTACTTTTTCCATTGATAACCACCTTATTACTCTATACTTTAATAATTTTATGACAATTTACAATTTTATGAAGCTTTACTTCACAATGTTGTTGACAAAGCTTTAAAGAATTTAACCGTTTTGAACTTTTCTTCAACTAATAATAAATATCAATTAGAAAGTCTTCAAAAGGAAAATTTAGCTCCCTAGCTCAGTGTTATACAGACAAATGAATCAAATGGTATGTACAACCACTGAAGAACATCTTAGGAGTATTTTCATCTATATACTTAACACAGCAGAATGAAATGCAGTTTTCCTATGGAATTCCATAATTTCAGAAACTTGAAGATGTTTTCAACTGTGACTTCCTTAGTAAACTTTGGAAGTAACAGCATTATAGTCACTGCTCTTTCAATCGTAGAATCCAAATATATCAATAGGAAATATTTTTTAAATGTCTCTTTTATTACTCCTATCAGTAGCGACTGTAAACTTGGTTGTTTTTAACATTATCACAAATTTTTCATTGGTAGATTTCAAGAAACTCTCAATTCCATTTGTTTTAATTTTTACAGAGCCATATTTTGCTGCAATTTTATAGTCTAGAATCATTTTGAAGAATAAAGGACCAGCATGGTCCAAAGCAAAGGGATAATTATGATCGATTAAAAAACTTGTAAATAAAACAAACCTCTGCTTGCACTTGCGTTTTATAAATAGTGATTTTTGTTAATTTTAATTAGAAAAATTAAAATTCAGAACATGAATGGGACAAGGCCTCTTAACTGTTTGGGTTTGAATGTTTATGTTAGCCTCATAACTAAGGTGATCGCCAAAGCAAGGAAAGAGGCTCAACCACTTTTAACAAGCTCTGCTCTGTGCATGTTTGAGAAAAGGAAAACCTCTTTGCATATTTCAGAACCAGTGTTTCTTTATATTCAAAGCAATGATGAATTAGCATTATGAGGAAAATATTTACATTTTGGTCTTAAGATTGGTTACCTCACTAAAAGAAAATTTAGCTACTTACCTACCTCACAAAAAGAAAATTTAGTTACTTAGCTACCTCACAAAGAAAATTTGACTAGTTGTTCATTTTCCAAATAAAATACAAATTCGACTGGAACATGTAATTTTATTTATTTTACTGGAGATATTTTAGAGAATCCAGAGTAGTCTGCAAAACTAATTATTACCTCTCTCAAAATGATACTGCTTCGTTGATATTTCCATCCAATACTTTGTGTTTTGAATGCTTAACTTTTTTGGTTTTTCTAAACGTAATAAAGACAGGGAATCCATATGGTTTTTATATTCCTCTTCAGTTAGCTCTAGAAGATATTTCTGAAATGAATCAATAACAATCAAATCAAACGTAACAGCAATTAAAAATAAGACAAGCAATTACAATATTCTATTATGAATTATAACAAGGCATAGTTAAAATAATCATGACTTTAAAACCAAGAAACTAAATCCTCTTTCATCACTCAACCATCATTGGAACTTCAATCATAAGTTTGAACTATCTACAACTGAAACCATTCAACATTGTTCGTTACAGATTGAACTAGATTTCTGAAATCATTCTATATTTAAAAGTTTGTTAATGAATCAATAATTGGGAAAATTGATCTTTACGGCATCCAATTTTTTTCCAAATGTAGAAAAATAAATATTCTTTTAACTTTTACAATCCCTTCACCCCACCACACACACATTTTTCTGTCATCTCCTAAAAGTTGGTAGCTAGCTTGTTTTCTTCACCCAGCTGAACAATTTTTTTTTCTGTTGTTAATGTATTGTTAGTTTCAAATCTCTGTATTTCTCACCACTTTTCCATTTGTGCTTTAATACTGAGAACAGTGCTTCATTATAAAACTAAATCATGTCTGTTTTATGTAATTTTATTCGAACCATTTTACATTGTTTTAATAGTTATGTGCAACAAAGTTTACCTGGTTCTATTTAGATTAGATTTATAAATTACTTAAGTTAAATAGTCATTTCTAATAAAATCTTAATCGCATTTATTTCAAATTTTAATATTTTGCTCTTTATTTTTGAAAAGCTGAAATTATTGGAACTTTTAATTCTATTAAAAGTTCCAATAATTACTCTGTAAATTCTATAAAAAAAGAAGCAGTAAACAGTGATATGCACATACACATCTGGGGAAAAAACTTACCACGATATGTAAATGAGAATTCTGGCAAAGGAAAAAGGGATTGCTGGTAAGGGAGGAATAAGTATCTCGTTAATGGAATTTTGTGAAGATTTTGAAATTTAAATTTTAGATATTCTGAACTCAACAAAAATCTTGTCATAGGAGAAGTCCATGAATCAATGGTCTTTATATTTGCGGAAAAAATCACATACAGTGGTACTTACTTAAGTGAATCAAATTATTTTGTACACAATTAGAAAACTCTTTTATCCAAAGATTATTTAAGCAAAATATAATTCTTTTACATTTTTTTTTTTCATAATGGGGAGAAACATTTTGAGTGGTAAGGCATTCTGGCTCAGCCAAACAAAAGAAATCAAATATCAGCGGTCGAAATGAAACTGCTTACAACTCCTTTCTGCTCTATAGAGGAAGTCATGGTTATCAAGGAAACGGCGTACCTGCCAAAGCTCCACCCATTTTCTTCTGAATATCATGTTCTCACGAGGCTACTGCAGGGGGGAAAAGTTTGTTCCGAGTCCGACTATCTTTCGAGCGGCTTGGGTTTCTTTAATAGGACTCATCAAAAATTTAAGTTCTTGGAACATGGTCGGAAACTTTAAAAATTGGGAGAAAACAGCGAATTTTCGCTTTTTCAAGGAAATCTTTCATCCCTGTTTCATATGCTATGAACCGACGATACTGCAAAATGAATTGTAAAAACAATGAATAGAACAGCGAGAAAGCCACACTTTTTGCATAATTTGCAGCGAAAATCGGCATCGTAAAGATAAAAAAATCTCATTTTGGAAAAGGGAAAAATTAAGCACTTTTCAAAAAACCAAATGAAAATAGCACCTTTAAAAGCTTTTAAAAAACGAAAATAAGCATCTTTAAGTGCTTTTTAAAAATGCTATGCACCCCAAGAGCCTGTCAAATAGTTCTTGAAATTAAAAATTTAAAATAATGACCTATTTTTATTACACAGAAACTAGTATTAGCAAAATTTCACTTAAATTTCAAATTTTGTTATCAAGAATATGGTTAAAATTATGTATTAAAATAAGCTTTGGTAAAACAAATTTTATAGTTGTAAGCAAAAAGTTTTCCATTCACTTTTAAATGTTCTGTCAGTAAATAAGGCAAAATATGTAAAAAGTAAAATTAATATTATGTAAACCCTTAATTTTTAGATTGCTCTTCTAAACTATTCAGACCAAATTCTTCAGGTTTACACACCTTCTTTATCCCATATTTTAATGGTCTAACAAAATTATGTTCATTAAAAAAGTAGATTTTTGTATCTGAGGTTGCAAGTTAAGGTATCAATTGAGGTAACTAATTAGAACGTTAAAATTATCCCATTGAATCATTATCATTGCATTTAAGTGCGCAATAATTTGATCACTAGATCAAAAATTATTAAGATGGCTCTATTTTAATTTTGTGCACCGTTTATACATGTGCAAACATATGCATATACAACCTATACATTAATATAGGTAAGGTTTATAAATTAGCGAGGACATATTGAAAATATTAAACGATAATATTAGTTAAAATTGCGGACCAGCTCTTATTCTTATGATATATGGTGTTCAAAAATATTTATGCATTTAACATTATACTAATTACTTAAATTTTCATAGGGAATAATTCATTTAGAGGCAAGGTAAAAATAACATGTTTTTAACAATCTGTTTAGTATTTCTTTACAAATTTGAAATTTTTTTAATTCAAAGTATCTGTTTTTCGTACATTAAAATCAGAATTTGTAATTGCACTTTTTAGTTGAATAACATAGTGCAAATTTGGAAATTGCAAGTATGGATAAAGAAATATCCAGTTATGTTAAAGCCTTTTAGTATTGACACTGAGTAAAACTAACACTGAAAAAGAATAACAGTAAAACAAGGTTATTTCATGACTACACTATAAATCTCAGTCTCCAAGAGAAATCTAACTCACTTTTTAAGGTACCATAAAAAAAAACATTAAAAAAAACAAATATTTACTTCAAAATACTGAATAAAAGACTCTATTTTTCCATCGATAAAAGATGGTGACTTTTCAGATTGAACTAGAATTCTTAGCCCTTGTGCTCCATTAGAACGCCTTGTGCCACTGCATACGATATAGCCTTAAAAGAGAAGAAAAAGGTTAAAAGCAATGATGATAAATTTGATGGGTAAACTTAGAAAATTAGAAGCTGTAGGTATACCTAACTGCTCTTGAGTGCGTAGAAAATTGTAACATGGCTCAGCAACAACGGAAACTAATAGTTCCAAAAGCATATTGTTTCTTGTTTCTTGAACACCACACTGATAGTATGTTTCAACCGCCGAGCTATTGTGAACTTCATTTTTTACTTCATATACTAAGTGAACTCCTAAAAAAATTACAAGATAATAATTTCTCAATAAAAATTGGTTAATTAGTTTAAGATAATTAGACAAAAAACAGAACATATATTAAAAATATATTTTTAAGAATATTTTTTTGAAAATATATTTTTTTTAAACATACTTACAATAGAAAATTGTGCCAGGAATAAAGTCAATGCTTAATATAATATACAGTTTAAACAAAGACAAAAGTTATAAAGTGCATCATAAGACTATATCATAAGTGCAAAAAAGGTTATAAATATTTATTCTATTATAAGGTTATAAATATTCATTCTATTACTTATTATAAATATTACAACCCTATAATATATTATAAGGTTAGAATTTTGTGGCAGGATCAGGATTCGGGGTAGATGAGTAAGAAATTTCTTGAGAACGCAAATACAAAAAAATTTACGATATGTGCACAGAAAGACATGGACATGGTACAAATAATAAATAAACGCAGAAAAAAGCTGACAAAAAAATTTTCCTTTCATTTTATACAATATTAATACTTTTATTCCAATGAATTCAATTTTAGTGTGACAAAAAAAAAATTCATCTTGAATAAATTTTGATCTAAGATTTTCACAAACAAGGATTTAATCTTAATAGTACAAGCGGGTGACATCAAATTTGCTAATTTATTAGCGCAGAAGACGCAAATGTCACGTTGGGAGGCACAGGGAACCCCCAAACATGTGCCCCTCCCAATAATTTTTCAAAACTGCAGAATTTTTTTATTATTATTTTAGAACCTTAAAAACCCCAACAGCAATTGTTTAATTTAAAAGTATAAAAGCCTTTAAAAAAAACAAATATTTTCGACAGTTTATATTTAATTTAATGAAATAATTTTATGACAGTTATTTTTACGTAAACGCTATTTAAAAAACCTGTTATAGACATATTTTTTAAATTTGTTACAATTTGAACTCAAGGAGTTCAATAAAACAGAAGTTCTGCTTGTAGTTAGGAGATGTTTAGCTTAGTTTTAATGATTCTTCATCAACACTTTTAAATAATGTTAAAAGTTTTTTAGTATTCTAATTTACTAGAATGAAGCCCCCATTGTTGCCTTTCGATCATCTGTTTTTTGTTTTTTTTAAAAGCTGACTTTTTTTTTTAAAAAAAAGAGATCATTTGTTAATGAACACATTGTTTATACATTAAATGCAAAAAAATGATTGATTACTTGGCTTTGAAAAATATTCAACTATACTTGAAAAAAAAAAAACTTTTAACTTAAGAGTATAGAACGTGTGACACAACAAGAAGAAATAAGTGTTATGTAATTTTGATTGTTAAATATATATAACAATAACCTACATTACAATACAGTTTAAATTGGAAATGGTTTTTATTTAAAGTCAAATTTGAGTTGATGAAATGTAGATCTCAAGAAACATAAATAAGTTGGGTTTTTTTTCCACAATGCGTAAATAGTCATTATTTATGTATATTTTGGCAAAAGAGTATTTAAAATTGCAACAACATTCAAGCAAATTTGAATTTCAAAAAATTTTCATTTAATTCATAGTCGAAAATTAACCTTTCAACACATCAAATTTCAAATCTGTATTCCGATTGTGTGCGTTTCTACACTTTCTAATTTGACAGTTGATAATTATTGAACTAAATAACTGAATTCATTTTTTATTGTATCCAACTATTTGAACACTTTTTATATATCTTTGTAACTAAAATTTTTTACCCCTTGAAGTTCTTTGGCAGGAAAACTAAATGTAATGTAAAACAGATAAAATCACAATAAAAGCACTTAAAACAATTTTTTAAAAAACTTGCATTAAGTTCATAATCAAAAATGGACTTTCTATCTAGAAAATCAAATTTAAACCCTGTAGTTTAATTCCCGCAGCCTGGAGAGTAACCTGCATGTTTTGTTTTTTTTTACTTTAAGTTTAGGGGTTTATAATTCTCTAACTAACCATATTTTTTTTTATTTCATGGAAATCCTTTTACAATTTTCAGCAAACATCTTCATGATTTCAAGTTAACAAACAAAACTGAGGCGACTCTCACAAATTTTTGATATCGAAATTGTTTTTTTTTTCATAACAGCAAACCATTTTAACCCATTTTAAACTCATAGTTTATATTCTGATTTGTTCAAAGTATAAATGCTTATGTAACATTTGAGAGATTTTTTTAAATATTTCTATAATTATTAACCAATAAAATCTTTTTCATACAAAATATTTTTTTTACTATTTAATTTGAGATAAGTTCAGTTAAATTTTTTTACACATTTCATTCAAATGTGCTCTAAACAATTTCACTTCATTATCTAACAATTTTCGAAAATTTAGCACGAATTTAGGAAATTAGATTACAAAAATGTCTAACAATATTAAAAATTACCAGATTATTGCAGATAGTGAAAAAATATTATTCGTTATATTTTATATATATACTGCAAAAACGAAAAATAACTGCCGAGGAAATAGTCGGAAAATTATGTGGATTAACGATTGAATATTCGTGAACCAAGCATGTCAAAAAACTAGTTATCAAATTCAAAACTTGGGTGTCTTATAACATCCTATTAAAAAAATCGTAGAAACCAGCAAAAAAAGATTGAAAAATGATACGTATTTAACACAGATATGTTACGAAATGATCAGGTGAAAGTCGGGTACATTAATTTGAAACTCGTGTTTCCTAACAATCATCTAATTATATGCCGGTATTTCATATATATATATACATAGATAATTATAGATATAAAACTATCTCCTTATAAAAAAAGTCTAGTGCCCTCCCCCTGAAAAAATTTCTTTCACGCTACTCTATGGCAGATATTTTAATGTACAAAATCAGACACAAAAACATACTTTCTTAGAATAAACATGCCTTTTTTTATGGATTTGGATTGCGGCTACCCCAAAATATAGGAGGTAGTCGCAATTCGGGAAACATCAATTGAGAAATTGGAAAATAAATAAAATACACTGTTATATTAAAAAAAATAAAACATTTCAGTGTTTATTTTCAACAAGAGTAAGAAAAAAAAGTTAGTATAAGAATACTGTATTTTTCTTTTAAACCTTACCAAGTTTTAATGCAAATTTTTGCTGGAATCTAGTAAATAAAAGTACAATAAACAGTCAGGAAAATATAGCACTATTTTCACTAACTAACAAAAAATATTGAACAGTAAAAGAATACATTAAGCAAATAAAAATAATAAAAAGTGCTAAAAAAGAGGAAACATTAGTTTTAGTTGATAGAAATTAATTTAAGAATTATAGTTTAAAAACATTAGTTTACATTTACACATAAAACATTTTTTATAAATAAATGATTACTTACCGTCAAGTAGTTGTATTTCACGATCTCTAAGTAACTCCCCAGGCATTACATATTTAGATCCCATTTTCAATTGCAATCCATTTTCAACAATGCTCATTAAATCAATAGCTTTCTAAAAATGTTTTTAAATTTAAAAACAATTGTCCTTTTACTAGATTACTATCCAATAAACATATTATAATATAACTTAATGCCAAAGTTACTTAGCACATTAAATAAAAGAGAACAATACACCTCTAATTTAAAGCATTTTTGGAAATAATATAATTGATTTCAAGTATGATCCCATGCAGAAATCTCCAATTAACGGCCTGCATATGAAAACCAGTGTGTCATTTTTGGTTTTGATTGTGTGTAAATCTTACAAAATTTTAAAATCCACACACATTATTGCATGCTACTAGCTATGCAATTCCTTCACTTAAAATTCAAAGTAAAATCTTCAAAATTCAATATATAAAAACTAATTTTGCCATCTTTAATGTAAGTACATTAAACCAACCATAAATATTAAGGTAAAAAATTACTTAGTTGTTAATTTTCAACCTAAGGTAGAAAATTAACTTAAATTAAAATTAATTAGACTAACTTAGATTAAAACTAACTTTATTTTAACCTAAGGTAGAAAATTAACAACTCCCAATGGGTATAAAAATAAAACACTTCAGGTAAATATGAGGTAAAATTAACTCATATAACAACCTCAGAAAATAAATCTCATTTCAACCTCAGCAAATTTACTTCATTTCTACCTCAAAAACTCAGTTTTTTTTTTTTTTGTAAATGTTGGGTTTTAATCCTTTTGCAATTTTTTCTAATGTAATTTTTATAACAAATTATTTCTTTTAGCTTCTGAGAGAGTGAATATAATTATACTTATTAACCTTGACTTTTGCAGCTTGTATTTGCTACGTCAATGTTTAGTGCATTTTTAATGTCTTCAAGTGTATTTAGAGGCTGGTATTATTTTGCAATAGGATATTTGAAAAAGAGATTCCAGTGCTTCCTATTGGAGTGTTGTTGTTCATGATAAAAAAAAGTATAAAATATCAGGTTGTTTATATGGGATTTACTACATAGCTTTTATTTGGAAAAATTCTTTGCTGAATCATTTAATTTCCTAGCTTAGAATTTGAGGCGGTGGAGAATTTAGCACATCCTTGACAATTTGCAGGGTGTTTCAGGCCACAATTACAGCAGTGTGGCCTTTCTTTCTTAGTTTTAGTACATGCGGAAGCCAAATGGAATTTTCACACTCAACGACTGTGGGTGGTAGTTCACATACAGTGGCTAAATAGTAGAATCCTTGGCACCTATGACATTGAGGCAAGCCTGGCCTGTTCTTACAGTTCCTTGACATGCATACTATTCAACATAGTCAGGCTGCATATTTCTTTTAAAATTTCCTTTTTTTTAAGTAAGATTAGGTACATGCTAAGTTCTGATATTTTGCCCCTGTATCTCTTTGTCATTCGTTTAACTTCCAACAACAGAAAATTCTTCAGTAGCTAAGAGCCCAAGTATATCCTCAGGCTCATAAATCTTCGGAATTTGCTTACTTATGAGTCTTGTGTGCCTATCTTAAGAAAACAGATAAGTGTAAAAAGGAATTCTGTTATTTTGTACATAATATAAAATGGCCTGACTTGAATTGTCAGTTTTGGGTTTCACTATCATTCTGTTATTACTATTTTTAAAATCGAATTCAGTGATATTTATTTGATTCATAATTTTTTGAACATTTTATAATCAAAGTTTTCATCTTTAGTGTATTGTTGGGTTCTTTGCAAACTTTTTGGGCACAGAGAACTCATTCTCACTGAAATGAATTTCATTATAGGTATCTTTGATTTTATTTCCTTTAGTCAGTTGTTCATCTCTAGTGGTGGAACTTTTACTCGCATTTTCTTTCCCCTTTTTAGGTGAAGCTTTTCTCGTTCACTTAGATTTATTGATGATTTGTTTTTCTTGCTCTACTATGATATAATCATTGTTTTCTATGTCTCAGTTTTCAATTTCTAGGGAATTAAAGATGTTTTTCACATGAATTTCTTTTTCCCTCACAATATTTTCCTTTTCCATTTATGATTGTAGGAAAAGGCAGTTTGTAGTTTTTTGCATTCCTCCTAACATTCCTGACACGACTTCAGTTGTTACCTGCCCTGGCTTTTCTATTTTTATGTACTTCATGACTCAGTTTATTTGTATCATCTACTAGTTTCGTTATCTATTTAAGAAGCTTCGATATATAGCCATGCTTCACTAGAATGGTGATTTAGATGTCTTTATCTTCTATCTTGGGTACAACTAATAGTTTGATACTATTGATGAATTCTCTCAATATCTCATTCGAGTGATCTTCATGCTTAACTTCTATCATTTCTTGGTCTCCTGACCCATACAAATTTGGCAGTCATCCCCACAACCACCGCAAGAGACTTCAGCAGTTCCGATCTCTGCAATATTGGCGTCATCCTTATTTTTCCGGACTTTCAGCTAAACAACCTGGATGCCCGACAACCTACAGAGACCTGTTTTCATGAACATTGGATTTTGCGGTAGAACTCTAATGATGATAATCTTGTAAACTCACGATGCCTAGAGTTTTTGAGGAGAGCCTCTTCCTTTCATGAGTGGTGTCCCAGTGGCGATGAGCCCAAGGGTAACTGAGGCACCCTTTTATAGCCATTTTCTTTTTTCTTGAAAAAGAAAATTCTTCAAAAGAATTTTTCAAAAAGTTCCAACCACCTCTCAAAAAAATTTCTCTATATATATTTATTCATCAACAGTGATGTCATCCTTATGACCAATGATCATTCAGCTCCATGACATCAACTGGTGAATTTCTGTGTATGACAATACCTCTTTGAAAATCGCCATTCTACATGGTATTCTTGCCACATGGATATTTGAAACATTAATGCTTCACAAAATAATTTAAATAAAATTTAAAATAAATTGTGAAAAGAATTTTACTAAAAAAAATTATCAGTCTTCCCAAAGAATCAGCATTCCAAAACAAAAACATGGTGCAATATGCAGAATAATATAAAATTAAATGTTTGCTAAAATCCATGACAGAATGGTTAATTACATTGAATAATTTAAAATTATAAAATATCCAAAGTGAATTAATAACATGAAAGAGTAAAAATTTGAAAATTATATAATGTAATAAAAGAATGACTAAGATTATGTTTAATATAGATTGGCTATCAAATTAATCCCTAGGTGTGTGAATTCTTAGGAATTAATCCAAAAGCAATCTTTAATATAAATTACATTTAAACCCTAATCTTTAAGAAAAAAAATTAAATCAAACATTAGTGCTCTTCAAATTATATACTATATTTAAGGTAAATAATTATATTTTCTTGAATGTTATTAACAGACAATTAATCTTAACAGTTTTATATTTTACTAACTTAACAAAAATGATAATTACAAATCCTGAGACACATTACATGTAAATCATACAAAATAATAATAAAAAACAGACTAAAAATGATAAGCATAACGAAATTGAACACTATAATTACATGTGTGATATGAAACTGAAAATTTACAATGATTGTCCTACCGTAAAGATGTCACTAGTTCCTTAGCAACGTTTGTACCCATTTCTAAATAATAACGTGTTGGTTTGATAAGCTGGATAGTGAGAAACAAGATAATTAAAATGCCTCAAAAAATACTTCAAAAAGTCTCAATACCACACAAAATGAACAGGGATAATTAAAGATCAGGGTTTGGAAATGATTAATAATTAAGGGGTTTACTAGAGAAGTTGGCCTTTTGGGACTTAGTGAAAGAGTAAAATAAAATTTAAAGAATAAAAAATTTTAAAAACATTAAATGAACAGCTGAAAAGAAACCGATTTGATTAGAACTTTATAAATCAACAAAATGATCTTAGATCATAATCCAACAACCAACCAAGTTATGATGAATATCGCATAAAAAGCTTAAATAAATCATTAATACAACGGTGCAGATGGTAGGTTCATCAAATGTTCCATAGCTAAAATAAATTTCACATTTTAACTGCTAAAAATATGTTTATTTCATTCAGGATGGATGGCTATGGAGCAAATCAAAGCTACTAAGATGTTACAAAATATTTAGAACAATTCTCTTCTAAATATTTCTGTCACCAATAGTTTTGAGTTAAATTTTTCTAATATTCTGATTTAAAAAAAAGCTTATTGTGTACTTGTATTTTTGTTTTCTAAATTATCAACAATTTTAATAATTCCTTAAAACATATAACATATATTATACATATAAAAACATATATTATACATATAAATTACATATATATTTGGTGCAAAGTTTTTTTATTATTTTAATAATTAAAAGCAGAGGGATACATTTCCTCTTACCTGCTTTGAAATATTGCCATAAAGTAAAGCTTCAATATGAACTCTTCCTAACAGACCAGGAACCATCAACTTTACTTTGTCAATAGTAATATCTAAAAATGAAAGGTTAAAAAATGTACAACAAGAACATTTTATAGCATCTATGAATTTTTCAATAAGTCAAAAAAAGGAAGTTTGGCCAGTCATATAATTATTATTGGGTTTTGATAAACAGTTTGAAATTCAGCAAACAGGAAAAAATAGAAGCATTTGAGGATGCAAATATTTTGTGCATCCTTAAATTTCACATACCATCTAAGCAATTGAGAAGTTCCTCATTGCTCCATATTTTCTCAGAAATAATGAGTGATGTATAAAACATTGCATGTTGGTGAGGTTGCTGCGCATCAAAATTTTTAAGCTCTCTTCTTAACTAAATAAAAAATTAATTATCAGTTTTTATGATACACTAATATTATTAACTTACATATACAGGGTACATAGCCAGATTTTTCATAAAAAAAACAAACCTTTTAAGTACTTTTTAAGCACTGAAAAAATATTTTTAATGACTTTCCAAAAAAAAAATCATAACTAGGATCCGTGCAGTAACCAAAAAAAATTTTTCTATCCTTTTAAAGTTCTTAAGAAAATCAATAAAAGTCAAAAACATTTTCAGAACCTTTATTACATAATCATGATAAAATAACTAGTTTCTGATAAATATTGCAGAGAAAATTATAAAAATCATGAATTTCTTTAAATTTAGGATGACAATCGATACAGCAAAGAAAAAATCTCTTCTTAAAAGATAAAAAAATTGAGCACTTTTTACAAACACCAAATAAAAAAGCACCATTAAGGGCTTTTAAAAAATGCAAATAAAAAATAAGCACCTTTAAGCACTTTTTTAAAACGCTACGCAGCCTGATATACAGTAAAAGACTTCTATAGCACAAACCTTGAAAGATGAAGCTTTGCATTTTATAGAATTCTAAGTTATATAGATCATTTTAAAATTCATGAAACCTATCTACTAAACATTGAAATATATATATATATATATATATATATATGGAATGGATCGATAAGAATGCTTTAAAAAAGTTTTTAAATACAAATATTTAAAAACACAAAAATTAGCACTTAAGTGAATCCAGCAAATTTATCTATTTTGGTTTGTCATTGACATTTTCTGGTTAATGCAGTGTATGGAGAATTGCAATTTAAAGAATTACGTTACATGGATATTTTACTCAACATGTTTTAAATAAAATTATGAAAAATAACACAAATAAATTGCCAACATGCTTTGAAGAAAACTCAAATTCAGATCATATAAATGAAGAAGTTTTGAATTTAGTACTTTTTTTTCTATTTAAAAATGAAACTTTCATTTTCAACAAGTATGATTATAAGGACTGAATTATACACTAATACATAAAAACCTGATATTTTTATGTAAAAAAATTGAAGGTCAACTAATACAATGGATTAATTTTTAAACTAAAAAACATTATATGTTGTTTGACTGTTTCTCACTCAGTCTTTCAAATGTAGGCAATAGAAAAATCACTATATTTATTGCTTAGTTATGTACAATTAGGGCATGTAGCATAATTTTAGCAAAAATTAAGCATCTTTCAAGCACTTTTCAAGCACTCAAAAAATATTTTTAAGCACTTGAAAAATATCCTAATTAGGCAGGGTTGGCAAGTTTTTGACAATTATCGGATTTTTACCGTCATGACAAAAAAAAAAACTTTTTGACAATTGTTGAAAACACAAAATTTTGGTGTAGGGAAAATTATTAGCCATTATAAATATGAAGTATTTTTAAATTAACATACATGTAAAATTATAAAAGCTTCATCAATTACGTTCTTATTACAACATATAACTCTTTTTGTTTTGAATACTACTGACAAAAACCCAAATTTTGGTGTAGAAAATATTAAATAATTAAATGAAAATTATTGAAAATTAAAATACAAACAAAATTTATCTTCAATCATCTTATTCTTTATATGTAAAATCAGTTTTAATTTACTTTCATTTTAAGTACTCTTTTCCCCGAAGCAAGCAATTACAAAAAAAATAATTTTGAAGCCCTCTGTACTGCAAGTTCATTTTTCAGTTTTGTATGAATATGAACAGAATTTGAAACTGTTCTTTCGATTGATGCACAGGCGTATAGACTAGAATGTTGACATACTAAAACTTATATAACAAAATAAAATAACATATAATTAGGAAATTTGTTCTAATAACTGTCCAAATTATAGATAGTAAATTAATTAAACCCTTGAATTGATTGAATTAAAAAATTATTCACTCATTTAAACAAACATTCATATTTTTTGTAAATTATAATTAGTTTATTTATCAGGGAATATATTATAGTCACAATTTATTGAAAATATTCATGAACATAGAAGCAGTAGTGTAGAAAATTCTCAGTTTCTAATATTTCCTCAAAACAAAGTTTTTTATTTATTTATTTAAATTTCCTCAAAAATATTAATGTTTTTCTTTCTTTTTCTTTAAGTACAATAACTTTTTCTTAATATTTTTTCGGAAATTAAAGTTTATACAAGAAAATAAATTTGCTTGATTTTACACAATTCTTGAATAAATTAGCGATAATTAAAAATTATTAGAAATGAAAATATACTGAAATAGTAATAATTTATTAAATTAAAGGTCTCACTTATAAATTTTAAGAACTCAAACTACCAAATTCACAAATTGATAATTAATTTTTTGAAACAAAGAAAAATTTTGCAAAGTAACACATTTTTTAGCAATAAAAAATTTTGTAGGAACTTATTTAGACCAAAACTTTTTCTATAGCTGCCTGAATTTACCCATAAAACTTTGTTTGCATGATTAGACACATTCTGCTTACCTGCATATATATGTAATAATGACAAACATTAAGAATATATAAAACAAATTATAAGTTGAGATCATTCAATTATCGGTGACCTCTTCAGTTCAACTTAATCAAAAGAATCTGCCTAAATTGTAACATAAAATAATTAAATTCATATTTGATTTGATAATAATTAACAACTCATAGTTATTGTTTTTAATATGTTAAGAGTGGTATGTTTTTAGAAAAATCAATTGATAATTTTAATGATTTTGGCTATATGTTTTATAAATGATACATGACATAAATTTTAATTATAGTAGTATATAATGAAAGTACGTGCATGATTTAATATCTAATAAAATGTCCCCAATATTAATACAGAAACTCGTCCCAGGTTTTTGACAGTTATAGACAATTTTCGATAGCTATTTGACGTCAAAATCCCAACCCTGTAATTAGCATATGAGCACTCATAAAAATTTCTTTTCCTTCCTATTGTTGAAAGTTCTTCATAAATGCATTAACAAAATGCAAAATAATTTCTAAAGACTTTACATGATCATGATAAAATAACTAGTTTCTTTCAAAGAATTCTTTTACATTAGCCACCTTCGAAACAATTTATACACGATTTTAAATATATTCAATATTTAGTAACTCATTCCATTTTTAAATTAATAACTACTTTATTTAATATGTAAATTTTTTTTAATTCAAAATAATTATAACTAATTTAATTATCATTTGAAAATATTCTCGAGGTGTATTTTTTAGATTTAAATAAAAGTTATTTATAAAAAGGATGTTCAACAAAACATTAACAAAATTAATATTATTGATAATACTGAATTGATAATACTGAATTAATAAAAATATGTAAAGAATTAAGCAAACTATGAAAGCTCAAATAAATTCATATTACAAATTTTAATTAGTAAATGACCTCTAACAATATTTATTATTATTTGTTACTTTAATGAAATGGTTAAAAAAATTAAATAATTTTGAAATACGATGTAAATATAATGAGTATTGAAGCTAAACATTTTTGTCAAAAGTAAATCATTATATGGTCCCTACACTAATATCAAACAAATTTGAGGTAATTTAATTTTTTATTTCAATTGTTTTAAATAAAATCATTAACAGATGAATTGAAGTTTTTTGGAATGACAAATCTGAATTTTTCTACATAACTAATCATAATATTTTTTGCTCCATTTAAAATATTGAAAGCATCCCTCTTCATACTTTTTTAAACTCTTGCCTCTAAATATTATTGAGCTATCTCATAAAACCACTTAAGAGCACTGAAAATTTTAAAAATAATAACTAATAAAAAGTAATGAGTAAAAAAAGTAATTATATGTTTACAAAAATTTTATGCAATTGGTGTACGGTCCCTAAGATAAAAATATTATGCTTAAAATTTTCAATTATATCTTAAATTTAATGATTAAAAGGGTGATGGAAATTTTGAGGTGATGAAGCTTTGGGATTCTTGACTGCTCTGGGGACCTACATGAAAAGACAGATTTAGTGAATGATCCTCAAATCAAGTTCAAACATTATGGTACTGATCTATAAATAGAATATCTCGAGAAGGCCATTAGCCTGAGACAAAGACGATGGCACTTCACCAACGATGAAATTAAAAAGAAAACTTTCTATCTCTATTATGGAAAAAGATTTAACAATGATTAGTTAGTCTCCGCAAACAGCGAAAATTCGAGAGATTTTTCGGCTCAATTTCAGACGGCTAAAAATGAAGCCTGAAATTGATAATATTTTAAATACAGTAGACTTGCAAATGAGATTGCAAGAATCCTTTCCTACCGAATCCAGCTCAGAATAAACACATGTGGATCTGCAAGAATTTCATCAAGCATGTTTTCATACGCTATGAACCGTTTGCATGCCAAAATAGATTAGGGTTGTATGAATAGTGAAAACGTTGAATAGAAAAATTTGAACATCTTTAAATTGGTTGGCATGATTCGTGGCGAAAACCAACATGGTAAAGAAATAATATCTCAATTTGGAAAAGGGAGAATTAAGCATTTTTTAAAAACACCCAATGAAAAAAGCACCTTTAAGCACTGTTCAAAAATGCTGCGCACCCTCACAATACATGATTCTCAAAAAGACAGATATATGACTTTTTTTTATAAATGAATTTTTACAAGTTAATAGTTACCCCGTATACAAGTTAACTTTATAAGAAATTTAGAAACAGTAGAATTTCCGTGAGAAAGTAACAAACATTTCTAATATGACAATTTAAGAAAATTATGCATGTAATTTTCATGTGATGTAGTCACGGCTATACTAAAAGGGGGGTGGCAGACACGCTTGTTGTAAAAATTTGTATAAAGAATATCAGAATTAGAAAAAAATAAGTGGATATGGCCAGAAAAACGATTTAAAAAAATACATACAACTGAATCATCCAGAACCAAACACATCAAAAAGTAACAACTCAAATTCAAAATTCATATGTCATAATAAGATATTTAAAAATCGGAGTTTGAAGAACCATGTAAAAGGGAAGAAAAATTAAATAACAGCCAAAAACCTATCATTCAACGATGTGAAGTAGTGATGGAATCATCATGAATGGAACGTGTCAGAAAATCATAACTCAAATTTGAAATTCTCACATCATAATAGCATTGTATTAAAAATATATCAGAATTTGAAATTCTCACATCATAATAGCATTGTATTAAAAATATATCAGAATTTAAAAAATCATATGAAAAAGTCTACAAAAATAGTAAATGACTTGTGAAACAACAATAATCAAAAGATGTGAAATTACGGAGCTTCACAAATTAAACGCCTCAAGAAGTGATAACTCAAATTTGAAATTCGAGGGTATAACAAGACATTTAAAATATCACAATTTGAAAAGTCATGTGTTAATCAACTGCCAAAAATCTGATAGTGATTGAATAATCTTGAATAGGAGGCATCAATAAATAATTACTCAAATTCAAAATTTGCATGTCTTAATCACACTGTATAAAAAATATTGCAATTTGAAAACTCAAAGGGGCTGAAAAGATAGTAAACAATTTGCATGAAACTATCATCAAAAAACGGGAAATCATGACCAAATTGTCATGAACTTAACACTTTAAAAAAGTGATAGTTAAAATTCGAAATTTGCATGGCATAATAACGTATTAAATACACCGGAATTTGATAAACTGCAGGGAACTGAGAAGACTGAAAAAATATGAAATATGAGTGGTGTTTGAGGCTAGCTTCTAACATCCNTGTCAACCTACAAATTCATAAATATGAAATATGAGTGGTGTTTGAGGCTAGCTTCTAACATCCAGTAAGCCAGTTTTAGTAATATTTAATAAAGTGGAAGGTCCAGAAACAACACCTTTCATCCTTGTTGAATTAGTTGAATTGCAAAACCAAGATTCTAATAACAACTTTGAAAATTTCAATGCAGACTTTAAATAGCATATAACATAGAATTTAACAGTAATTATTTGAAATGAAATACAATTGAATTTTGTTGCTCAAGCTTGCCTGTAACAATAAAGATCCCAAGCAGGAATAAAAGATTTAAAAACATTTACTAAAATAAAAAATAAAAAAATAAAAAATAAAAAAAATAAAAAAAATCATACATCACAAAGATACTCTCATATTTTTTTTATAAACCTGACATTACAAGCGCAACTCAATAATAGATGAATATCATTCAAAACAAAACAATTTTCAGCAAAAAACTGAGCTATTTATATAATAATAATTCATATATTAATTATTAATATATTAAGTGAAACTTGCCCTTTCTTTCAAAATATCAAAACGCTTTTGATCAAAATTCAAATCCGTCAATTTATCCATAACTTTTTGAAGAAGAATATGCTGTTTATCAGTATATCCCTTGATATTTAGCTACAAAAGAAAATAGATAAAATTATACTAAGGGAAAAAAAACATATATAACAAGTTTTAGGGAAACATAGCTACTACTAAAGGAAAGATTCATTAAAATTTACCAAGAAATAATACAAATTTCTTGCAAATCAGACACAAGAAATTCTAGGAATTTAATAGTCAATAAAATAGAAAAATTATATTACACTATTTACTGTAATATTTATAATTTATGTAATCATTAATTGGACTTAATATAAAATGTTTGGGTTCATAATTTTGAACAATAATAGATATATAATTCATTTTAAATAGTGGTGACATATTATTTGACTACTAAAAATATAAAGTTATGAATAAATAAAATTGCAAGTTTTAAAATATTTAAAAAAAGAAAAGCTTTACACTGATTACATGATTGTTCAGTAGTAATATTTTTAAAAAAACAGCAAGAAATAAACTGCAGAAAAAAATTTTTAAAAGGGATTTTTTTTTTCAGAAACTTTTTGGTTTGTTCTGGATTTTTTGCAAAATTCAGAACATATTTTTGTTAAACTAAGAGGAACTATTGTAGCAATATTATTAGTCCATTGGAAAAAACAGATAAATGAAAGCTATGTATAAATGCTTATACTAACTTCACTAGTTAAAAAATCATAAGTTAGGTCACATAAAATACAAGTAAAAGCAAAAAATGAGACTTACAAATATTCCAGCTTTAGAGCATCTAAGAAAATATTGGATTCCAGCTAAATCTGCAGCATATGTATACTCATTTAATGAGTCTCTTACTAGTTGTACAAAAAGTCGAGTCATATTGAAATGCAGAGGGTCAACATATGCCATAGCACTATAAAAAGTATATATGTTTAAAAGGTTAAAATACTCCCAGCTAACAATATAAAACTTTAAAATATAAGATTTTCAATTTTATCAACATAGTAAAAGCTTGACTATTGAAATAAGGGATAACAAATAAACATTGAATACATGAGTGCTGTCATGCGACAACTTGAACATCATTATTCCTTATTGTGTTTTAGCAACACTTAGAAAGTTAACTCCCAGTCTGTGAATTGAAGTTGTTTGTCTATCGTCGTCAATAAAGATGCTTGTGTTTTAGCATACTTAGTGTCTAATTATTGCTACAAGGATTATTATAGTTAACAAATAAAATTACATGGTTTCAGGCAACTCTAGTGCTTCAAGTTTTGCACGTTTATCGAAGGAACTTAATATAACCGAAGATAGAATGTGGGTAAAGTGGAAGCTAAGAAACAATGTTTTGATTTCTATGCTACAGCTATTCAATTATCTGGCAAGGAGACAGAAATTCAGGAGTGATATTTATATCTGCAATAGGTCCAGCTGCTACAATTTGGCAGAAAAACAGAAAAGGATTTATCCATGATTAAAATTGAAGTGAGAAGAATAAATTATTGAAAACATTTACTGAGAAAAATTTCATATTAAATGGCCAAAAAGATTAAAAAGATAAATCAGCATAACAAAGCTTTAAAATTTGGAAGTAAACAATGCAAACAGTAATGGTAGTACATAGGTCAGTGCAGTGGCCCAGATGAAATATTCCGCGACAAACATAACATATTTAACAACAACAAAACAATAAACATAACATAACAAAACAAATTATGTAATTTATCCAATTAATTTCCTGCATCATCTCTGTTATCTGACATCAGGCAAGGAACAATTAACAAGGATCATCTCCCATGTAATGGTAAGATAATAAATATATATATACATACATATATATATAAAAATGGAATTCTGCGGAATTAATAAGGGAGATGAGCTAAAGAATTCGAAGAAAGCAGTGTAATATGTTGAAATACATGCTGCCCCCTCTTCACAAGCTAGATCACCTAATTCCAAGTGCTATCAGGAGGAATAACTATTTTATTCACTAGTTACAATGAAAATGATCAAATGTAACCAACCACAGCCTACAAAATGCGTATTCTTCAGTGACTTTCAACCTTCAGTAAAGAAAATTAATGGCTAAAAAGAAAATTAATGATTACGGCAGTCATAGGAAGGGCGAAACTTGCACATATTCCGTGATGTCAAAAATATTTATGACATTGTCAGCACAACATAAATTTAGTGTGCGCAAAACTATGACAGAGAAAATTCCTTCTCCTCTTCCGACTGAGAAACGTTTCAAATTCAAAAGGGGGAAATAAAATGTTTGTTTCTCCCTCAACCTCTGTTACTACTAGCACTATGGCCTGTGTTAGGAAGGGCCGGGAATGTCAGCAGAACATAACAAAAATTATAAAATAATTAATTATTCATTTGTTCACCAGTTGCAGACAGGCGATTTTAATTTTTTGTTTGTTTTCCGTTTCATTTCAAAAATTTGATTTATTACAAAACGGTTCTATAAACTGGGTTCGTTCTAGCTACATAGATAGGAAAAGATACTGAAAAGAACAAGTTTTCTCACAATTAAAAGATCAGAGTTCTAAAGAAATATATTCAAAATAAAGTTCTTTTTGCTTATCACTAAAAAATTTAAATCTTTTCAAACTAAAACACTTAAATATAAAAAAATCGTAAAACACGGCTTTGTAAAAAAACTCATTGAAGAAAAAAAGAAACTATGATTGCACTTAATTTAAAAAAGAAACATATTTCAGATAAGACAAAATCTTTCTTCCCCAAATCTTAAACTTCAATTATTTATTATGAAACATATATATCAGTGATAAATAAGTTTAGAGATAATAAAAAATAATGAAATATTTAAACAGTTTTTCTTTTCTTTTATTTTTTAAGATATAAGAAATGCTGATGTAAATGCAAAGGAAAAAAATATTACAAAAATTGATTCAAAGGATAGACAATGCAAAATATAAAAGAAAACATACTTTAAAGAGAAAATAAAATAAATTATAAATTTCAAAGACGAATAAATGAATTTAATTTCTGAGACTGAAGCTAATGTCCCGATTAAAAGTTATTAATAGTTGGAAGTCTTGCTCCAATTTATATTTGGTATTTTCACTAAACTCAGTTGGGTGATTTGTTTTGCAGAACTTCAGTTTTTTTTTTTTTTTGATCTTTGAATTTTTTTCCTTCCTTGAAATTATATCTTTTTTTTCAGCTGCACTCAGACAGTTCTTACATCAGTTAATCGGCTGTCGGTAGCAATTTACATACTCCTGCCTCTTAATTTTCTTAGGAATGTTTATTTAATGCAAAAGCGTTGTTTTTTTAAATTTTAATTTCTTATATATTATAAACATTGGTTAGCAAAAGTGGCAGAAATTTTTAATCAGCATTGAAAAATAAATAAAAAGGAATTTCAACTAAAAGTATCTGCAGAAATTGAATCGATGCATAGAATAAAAAGATTCTTTTTCTAGTTTTATGACTATTTAAAAATAAAATATTTACAAAAAACATATAGATGAGAAGAGGGTAAAATATATAGCACACTAGTTTATTCTTAAGTTACAAATCTGAATTTGCAACCCATTTGTAGATAACGTCATGCAGTTTCTCGACAATCAAAAATTTAATAATAAATTTTAAAAAACATTACAAAATATGTTTGTTAGTTCAGAAATTTTCTGCAAAAATCTATTTTTGAATAAATTTACTGTGATCACAAAATTATCACGCGTAGCTAGAGGTAAATTAATTCTTCGCATAGGACGCACATCACGACAGTCGAACTTTTAAACACAGATAAGCGGCAGCCTATCTACAGGAAATTACTGTAGATATATAAACATTACAATGAGTGATAAAAAATAAAATACTTACAAAAAAACACAATAACAGTAGCAAAAAGTGATTAAAAAAAAACAATATGGCTACAGAAGTACAAATAAAAAGCCTATTTATACACCTTCATGATTTGAGTCAAGTTGATGCCAAAACATTTTGAACAAAAGTAAACTAAAAAAGAATTTGAAACTTAAAAGAAACACAAATTCTAATTGATGATGTTAAATGATGCAGCATTTGATGATTCCACTCCCTAATACAAACTGCGTAAAGAAACATAAGAGTTAGGTTAGTAATATCAGTAGATCGGGGCATTTTATGTTGTTGCTTGACGGAGCTTTACAACTATTTATATTATACTATTAAAATAAATCATTCAGTCGGTTATATTTGAAAAAAAAAACTTACATTAGAGTTAACAAAATAAAAGAAATAAAATCAGTAACATGGCATACCTTTTTTCCAATATTTTTAAATTTTTAATTAGTTATCTTTAGTACAATAACAATCCTTAAGTAAAATAACAATAGTAGTAACAATCCTTCATACTGGGTTGAAGTGATAATAGCACCTTTGATTATATAATGCAAATTATTTTTCCATACTGAAAGAATTTAACACTTACAATCTGCACTCTTATCAGAATATATAATTGAAGATATTAGAAACAATACTTGCCTTTCAAGCATGAAATTCAGACATGCTTTTGGTAGAAGAAAATAATCATCTTGTTTATACCATAACCGACTCATTTTGGTATTCTAAAAGAAAAAAAAATTAAAATGGTTATAAATAAGCAAAAAATTTAAAAAGAGAACCACTTTTACAATTTAAATTCATAGCTTGTGCTTTTCAGAGTAATTGTGTTATACTGTGCACAACCTTTTTGAGTACAGCAGGTTGACCAATGACGGGCCACGTGCCAATATTTATAAATGTTGACTGCAATTATGGCAATTTTTATATAAACATCATTGTTTTCGATATTAAATTCTTTTTATCATTTAACTTAGTAACATATTTGCCAAAAAGTAATGCTTTTTAATATTAAAATTCATTCAAACCTGAAGAATATTAAATTGATACTTTTTTCTAAAGATATTTCCTTCAAATCAAAAATAGATTTAGAAAAAAAAGAAGTAGGAAGGAAAAAAAATTGGGAGAAAGTAATTTTTTTTATCATATCACATAATACAAAGGCTTATTTACAAATAAAGAAAAACTGTAAGGTTTGTAGAATAAAAGTAAAATGAATATTTTATTGAGCAATACAAATGCAAATAACATATTTTACTTAAAGAACTTACATGGTTGTCTGAAATTATTTAAAAATAAAACAAACACATTATAGCTCAAAATAAGTTGGGGATATATTTATGACATTAGGAGATTCATATTTAGTGAATTATTAGAGATTTTCAGAAAACTAAATCTTAAATAGTTTTTAAAGCTATAAAAGTTAAAAATAAAGTTTCTTTTTTTAAAAAAAAAAAAAATTTCGCCAACTATCAAATTTTGCATGTTCTAAAGAACTGTATTAAAAATATCAAGATATTAAAAAGTAAAAAAAGACGCGAAAAAGCATAACAATAACAAAANAAAAAAAAAAAAAAAAAAAAAAAAAAAAAAAAAAAAAAAAAAAAAAAAAAAAAAAACAATCTAAAAATAGTTTGATTGGACAAAATCGGTACAAATAAAGCACTTCAAAATTTACTATAAAAATGCGCAATTTGAAACTCAAAAGTCGTACAAATATCCTTTTAAAAAAATATCTGGATTTTCAAAACCGCATAGAAAAGGGTCGCAATGACTACGAAAAGGATTTTTAAAAAAAAAACTTAAATTCGAGATTAAGATGGCACAAATAAATCACCAATTTTAATACTTGATTCAAGTATTGTAATAATACATGTTAAAAAATTCCGGATTTACAAAACCATAAGGAAATACAGAGCAATAACTGCCAAAAAAATAAATAAAAATAGTTTGGATTTACAGCGAAATTGGCACAAATGAAGCACATTAAAAGTTAGAATGAAAATATGCGATTCCAAACTCGTGAGTCATAATAATATGGTATTAAAAATATTCAGATTTTAAAATTTACATGAAAATCCAACATGGTCTTTAAAAACATGATCGAAAAGTCACTCGGATTTGAAATGGACACAAATAAAGCACATATGAAATTATACCTTCATTTCAAAATATGTGTAACAGAATAACATATTAAAAATATTAAGAGTTTTAAAACTGTGGAAATCCATAACAATAATCGAAGAAAATGCATTTGAAAAACAACAGATGTACAGTATATTAGCAATTTGAGCGTGTTTATAATTGATGACTTGAAAGCGCAATACAAAATTTTACTTTTTTTTTCCTTTTAAAAAGGAAAGAATCAGAATTATTTTACTATATTCAGTTGCCACTGCTGAACGCACTTCAACAGCTGGTGTGCCCGCAGGTTGTGCACCTTATATTATTCATTATAAAGTCTGATTTTATATATATATAAATATGTAACAGGCCCAACCCGATAAAATTATTATTTTTCTACTTTTTCAGCAGGCAGAGAAAGATTAAGACCACAAAATATTAAACAAAAGTAACAGAAACATTAAGAAACTACATCTGAATGGCAGAAACTTAAATAGATTCATGAGGAAAAAAAATAAGAAAAGCTATTTTTTATAAAGGAATGTTGAGATAGCTTTATTTGAAATGCAAAACAATTGAAAAACAAAGACCAAAAAAAAAGGCTTTTCATCAATTTCACCGTAAATCCAAGCTACTTTTTTTTCCAATTTTTCGACAGTTATTGCTTTGCAATTCCACATGCAAGGCCCATGCTAAGCATTACCACCTCGCCAAATGCAATAATATCATAAATTCAGCTTAAAAAAATTGAGTTTTGGAAAAGTATTTGGGAATGATTTTTTCTACAGAAAAGAAAAATTTACATTCCCCTCAATCTTGGAGAAAAAGGTCAAAGGAAATTTTTCTGAACAAATCCTGTATTTTTTGTTTGATTACGTCTGGAACTAACTGATTGTTAGATATGTCGCATAATCAATAAGAATTATATTAAGTCCACATAATGTAAGTAACAGGAGAGATTATGTAAGCATGAGACAAACTACCGTAAAATGTAGATTACCATGTTAGTTGCCAGATAGCACGATAGCACGCAAATTTTTTCTTACAGTTTGTGCTAATAAAACAGATTAAGTGATAGCAAGATACATATTATTTGATACAAATATTTTTGCAGAAAATATCTTTTCTCATGACAATAACATATACAATAACAGGACAATAACATAATGTTTCTGAAGGTTTATCCTTATACTACTACTCTATCTAAGAAGTTATCAAATTCTTGATCTGAATTTGATCTTGATATGAATTTGCATTTGATAAAATAATTCAATGTATAGTATATTTGTATTTTGATATGAAATTTTCTATATGAAAAAATCAATCATAAGAAATTTTTAAGATTTGCCTTCAGCTAAGAATTTTGAAATTTGGTTAATACTTTTGATAAATGGCTAATTTACTGGCTAATAATTGAGCCCTGCACATTGGGTTTTGAAAAATCCCAATATTTTTAATATATATTAGTACAACACTCAAATTGCACATAAAAATGTGCACTTAATTCATGTCAATTTCACGACAAATCTAAGGGATTTTTTTTAACCTTAATTTGGCAGTTATTCCTACGCTTTTTGATGTGGTTTTAAATTTTAATACATTGTTACGATTTGCAGGTTTTGAATCTCCCATTTTAATAACCATGCTTGATAATTGCTTTATTTATGCCTATTTCACCATCAATCCAAGTTATTTTTCGTTTTTGCTACACATTTGTATGTGGTATTGAGAGAAAAAAAATTTTAACGCAATATTATTACAGCATACTGTTTATATAAAAATTACCATAATTGACATAAACATGCATAAATGTCTGGGCATGTGGCCCTTTGTTGTTCAACCTGTTCAACAAGTGGCCCTTCACTCAAAAATGTTGTGGATTCCTACTTTACAGTTAGAGAAAATTTTTGTAGTGTTACAATAAAATAAAATTGTGATTAGCATAAAACACAAATATTGAAAAAAAATACTTTAATATAAAAATACTGTATTGAATAAACAAAAATACTTACTCTTAGCAAATAAGGAAATTTAGGCATCTGGAAAAGAAATAACTTAAAATATAAATTGTAATCTGAATAAATGAAAATTTTTCATTCTAACATAACACACATTATTTACTTCATTTTCTTGGGGAATTAACTCAAAGTTGGTAGGTATAAATTCATTAGGAAGTGGTAATTTCAATCTTGGATGAATAGTCACATTTTTCCAGCTCTGAAAAAATACAAAACAAGACCTTGTTAATAGTTACTATACAGAAACAATAATAAAAATATAATAATATTTAGACATCCTACAAAATATTTTATCATAGAGAAATGATTTTTAAAAAATTACCATATGAGAGTAATAATGACTCAATATTGTGTTTAGTTAAGACTTTAATTGGAAGCTATAACATTATGTTATGAGACAACAAGTTTATACATGTAACACATTTTTCATTAACTCATTGCATAGTTTGATTCTATATGGCACTTTGTTATTTCATTGTGCAATTCTTTTTCAAAATATCACAATTCAGCAACAATCAAACACATTAATTAACCCTTCAAGCATTGAGTCTTGGGTAAAACTATTCAGAAAGTTTCCTACTATACAATACTTTCAATAACATATATAAACTGGTTTTTTGTTAAAGGAAAGCCTACATCAGAAAGTTTGGAAAAAGCTGGGATTAACAACCAGAGGATTAAAAATATAACTTAAAAGGTTAACAGTAATGAAATACTTTTAAAATCGAAGATAAAGATATCATTAATATTACTACAGAGTGACTCAATAATACACATACACTACTGAAATAATGTAAATCTAACCAATATGTAGTTCTGCATAATCTATAATGATATTTTACTAAAAAGGATTCACTAAGTCTTTATATGAGCTTACAAATTATTTATTTCGACTATAGCTATAGTAATCAAATTTTAAAAGAAATGTAGTTTCAAAACTATGCATATTCCAGCACTTATTTTGATATTCAAATCAAATACAAGCCAAATTTATAGTCGAAATTTCAATTTTACATCATGTCTCCTGAAGTCTGACCTTGAGAAAAGTATAATAACAGCAAATTGGAGCATGGATAAAGAAAATAAGTTGCATTTCTAAAGTAATAAACTGTTCAGTTGGTTCACAAATCAAATTTGTTTTACTTTACCAAACAGGACAATTATGGATCAAATAAACATACAGGAGAAACTCGTAACCTTCCTATTTGGAAAAAAATTTCCTCAAATAGTGTCAAATAAGTCGGCATCTGCAAATGCTCAACCTAGATGCCTTGTACAATCTAATTTTCAGAAAATAGAGCAGAATTCTAACACTCTATTTTCTAAAATGGAGAGTGCTCTGAAACCCTATCATACAACAGCAAGATTAAACTTTTGTACAAAAAAACAAAAACAAAAAAGAAACATTGAATACTGAGTGTTTACTAATAATATAATTCTGTAAATATTTAATATAATTTATTGGTGATGAAAAAGTTTAATTAAGATGGCCCGGGTGAGTATTCATATTACTAGAAGGATTTGGGAAATAAAAAATATTTTTGAAAGGGAATTTCCAGACGAAGCATCATGGTATGGGAAACCTAAAGTAAATGAGACAAACTTAATTTAGATTTTATTTCACTTAAAATGGATTACAAGGACTATCAACACATTCTGTTTTAAAAGACACATAGGTAATCTAAACTTGTTTTTCAACAAAACAACACATCCATACACTCTAGTGCATTCTAGACGTTGGCGCAAACAAAATAAAATTGAAGTTATGAATTAGCCAGCTTTCTTCTTTGATCCAAATACAATAGAGAACCATTTGAGGGTTTTAGCAAAACAATTTATGTGAACAGTAGTCAATACAATAAGAATAAATTGCAACTAGCAATACAGAATGCTTGAAATGAAATAGAAAAATAAATAAAAGAACTTTACTTCATTTCAATATATTAATCAAAATGGTGTATATGCATTTGTTGAAATTTGTGGAATTAAAATCATTTTTCATGAAAAATACGTATAATTTTGTGTCAGCTAATTATGAAATCATTTCTTATTTCAAGACTTATCCAGTTTATACTTAATAGTTTTATTTAAAAATTATCCCATTAAATACTTCTTAAATGCAATAAATGGTTTTAATAAAGATCACATAAAAAATTAAAAATAATAGAATTTGGCAGAATATGTATAATTTTGTGTCACTCTGTATTTAGTTACAATAGATAATGGTCTAAATTATAAAACTAAACGTATGTAAAATTTAACAGTTAAAGATAAAAAATAAGAACCTTAACAACAGAATACATATTTTGCATTTAAAAAAATTATATTAAGAAGAAAACAAAGCTCTGCACTGATTTAATAAATATAATACAAGAAATTTTACATAAAAGCTGATTCTCTTCTAACCTGAATTACTTTTTCTTTAATGGGATCCAAATGATATTTGGTTCCATACCACTTTTCAGTTTTGATACAAATGTCACTAAATTTTTTTCCCACCACAGCAATCCTTAAAAAGAAGAAAACAATTTAAATAAGATAACATTTAACAGTAGATAATTAAATTTAGATGAAATCAATACAATGATAATATGGTATATATGAATTGATAATGAAATTATCATATGTTTAAAATTAATGTTTCAGCAGTTTTGTAGTTTTAAAAAAATTACTACAACAATCACAAAAAATGAAGACAACAAAACAAAACCGGTGATATTTTAATGGTGGAATTATGCATGAAGGTTAAACAAAAAATGAAGAAAATAAAGAATAAATATTTGTATAAGACAAAAAAGCTGAAATCTGATAGTGTATTATTGACACTTAGAAAAGGACTGGAAAAAAAAAACTAAGTGCCTATGCAAAGAAAAAGAATGAAACAGACTTCTCTTAGCAGAAGTATTCCGTTAACAGAATATTTAGAAACAAAAAAATTTAATAGCTGAAGTTCTATGATGTAAATAAATAAAAAAAAGGTGCATTAATAAATAATTAAAAAAATCTAAATGAAATAAAAAATTAAATTTAAAAAAAATACAAACAATGCAAATAACATAAAATTTGCATCAAAAAATTTTTACGCCCTAAACGCACATTAAGCATTAGAACTTAGCTGTCATTTGAAGCGTCATTACATGTCAAAAATGGAGAGATAATTTTCAGACATTAAAATTTATTTTTCAAAATGGTTATCCGGTGCTGATTATGTTTGCCTCGAAATGATTAAATGGAAATTATTGAAGCTTTGTTAACAGATCTATAGTTTACAGAGCTATAGTTTATAGAAAGCACCTCACTAGCACAAACCTTCATACTTAGTTTTCTAAAAGAACTTTACTAATTTTAATAGCAGCAATTTTTGGTGAAGGAATAAAAGACTACAAAAACTTTTACATAGCATGTAATCATTTGAATGAAGGATTCTTTAAACCACTCAAATTAAGAATATTATATCTGTTTCACCTTCTTCAGGTGTTAAATTCTTTTTCTTTTTTTTTTAGCTCACAAGAGAATATATCAGCATCTGATACTAGGAAACAGCATAAGCCAAAAAATTATGTCTAGGGAAAAGGGGATAGACAAGGAAGCTGGTTGACAATAATTTTAGATTTTCAACAGAAATGAAAGCAAAGAATCAAACTTAGTAATGAGATTCTAGTAATATGCTCATATATATAACACTTAGAATTCAGTATAACATTTTTTAATAATGTAAGTCATTTGTAATACTTTAAACAAAGGAATATGACAGGCATTAAACTAAAAAAAATCTTTCATGTTGTTCAAGTGTTTTAAATGTTTCTTCTACCCATTAAGTAAGAAACCGAAGTCCTCTTTTACCATAAGACACTACTTTTAGAATCCTAAGAAGAAACAGGATATCTACCTCTACTAGATAAGATAAACAGCCAAATGACTTTAATCTGTAAAATTTTTGATCATTTTATTCAGAGTTTATTAAAAGCCACTTGACCCCCTGTGAATGTTTATCAAAGCTTGAAAGTATGGGTGTAAATTAATATTCTGCTAAACCTAATTTTCTCTTCAGATAAATGTTCGATAATTTATTTCATTTAACAGCATTATGAATTTTATAGCGTTCTGATAAAAAGTTATGGATGTAGGCAGTTTGATGCATAAAACTTAATTACATATACACAGAATTTTAACAAAAAAATGAAAATATAGCAGAACAATTAAAAAGATATAACAGCATAGTTAAAATATATTAACAGTGCTATGACTATAATATTCTGATAATCAAAGTACTCAAAATGCGTTAATCAACTGACATAACTTGATAAAATTTTGGGCTTGTTTATGTTAGAGTCTTATGTTTATTTGTGCAATGATTAACCAGGTGGCAGAGCTGTGACAATGTACATTAGAAAGAGAACTAGCATACATTTTTATTCCTAGATAAATTTTATTAATTTTCGTTAGGTGTTAGTTGATGAAATTGAGTTAATGCGAAATAGGTTGAGAGGAAAGGCCAGGTGTTCACATTGGCAGTGTTCTTCCTCTTCTACTTTTTCCTGTAGCAAGTAGAAATTATGCTGTCTTTTATTTCAATTCTGCAGGCAGATCTTTCTAATGAAATAGGAAAAGAATGGAAATTGTTCGATTACCATGCTGTCCTTTCTTGAAATAAAGTGTGTTCTGAAGCTGAAGTATATTAATCAACAGTCTATTATCTTAAATAATGACTATTATTTTGAATTCCAAAGGCCAAAAGCTAGAATCCAAGTGCCTCTTGGGTATAGGGAATTAGCACAGATGAAAATTTGAGACTTCCGAAATGCAATGGCAACATGGTATAGTTGGATTTATGAGTAAACTGTTATGTGCCTTTTGGAACTCAACTCTTTTTGACTTGCAGTAGGAGTTCAATTCCAGACTGTATCCTAATGCTGACATCAGTGTATCACTAATTTCTGTTATTAAGGGATGTATGTACATACTATTAAACTGTAGTTTACATGTTTCTCCTGATTCTTTCATAAGTGCAAGCCAAATGATTTGACAATATCAAGAAGTAAATACCTCAGATTTATGAAGAAAAACTCACTAAATCAATCTAGAGTAAATAAGAAATCAAATATCATTAACAATGTAATCAAAATAAAGATACAAACTAAAATAACTACACAAAAATAATAAAGAATAAACAAGTAAATTCCATACAATACTTTCACAATTCAATTATCAACAAAACAGAAAAAGGAAACTGAAAAAAATAACTTAAATTTTCTTTTTAAGAAATATAGAATTTAACCTTATGTAAACCAAATCTAAGTTTTAAAAAAAAGCATTCAGTACTTAATGGTTCTATTTACTATTTTTGTTTCAGTATTCAGTGCTTGTTTATTATTTGTGAGCCACATTCTCTTGTACTCCAGCATAAGAAATTTTGCCTAACTTAATTAAATTTTCATTGATGCTGCTGTCATTTTAATCCTATTAATAAAACATTTCTTCACATAATGAGTAAATATTTATATTAACAAACATCACCACTTCTTTTTTAAAGAGTATTACTTTTTTAAAGTCATCCTGATATGCATAAATCATTGTCTACTTTAGTTGAAATTTAAAAAAATAATGAGCATTACTTTTTTAAATTATTATTTGTTATGCATATGCAAATACAGTAGATCTATATAACAGAATTTTATAAATCGCAATTCTTCTTCATAAACCACATTAATTATAGTATAATTAATATGGTATAAGTATAATGATCTATATAACACAAAATTCTATATAATACAAAGTCTTATGTTTCAAGTTTTGCATTATAAAGATCTTCTAATGTATTAATTGTTTGGCATTGCAGCTTCAAAATAGAACTGCAAAATAATAAAATATTTTTATTTAACAAATTTAACTTAGTTCTTTTTTATAGGCTGGACATTTGTAATCTGCTAAAATAAAACTGAAACTGAAAAAAAAACTGTTAAACAATATGTATTAATTAGTTATATCATCGAAAAAAAATTTCATTAAAAAAAAACAGAATCCACAGCGAAAAATTTATCTACTTTTATAAACAAATAGATCATTAATCATAAATTACATGAACTTTATTAAATTTACCTTATGGTATCGGGAATCAGCAAATCTAAGACCTTGGTAATCAGCTCTGGTTTGTACTTGGTTTGTATATAAGAACCACATAAAATGTCCTCCATCTCATAATCCTAATAAAAAGAATTTGAAGTTGTTTCGTCTAATTTATTTTAATTTAACTATACTGCAAACATTGAAAGTGTAAATGAAAGCAAGTTTTTAAAGTAAACTTTACATAAACCTATGTGATTTAATGACTAATCTGAATGAGTGACTCAAATAAAGGTTAACATTTCAAAGTATGAAAGTACAATACTTTAGTATTCTACTGAAGATGCTTGTAATTTTCTTCACTATTTTAGAATTAATTGTAATTTTAATTAATTCTTGCTTCAATTAAAACTAAAAGTAAGAGATAAATTCCACTGTAATCATTCTTCAATACTTACATCAAATATAGCAAGCTGTTAAATAGCAAATAGATATCAAACAACGAGTAAGCATTTTTTAAAGCATTTTTGTTTTTTTAATTAATGTTTAAAAAAAGTTTATCGAAAAGGAATATTATGGACATTTTTTTCTGCTGAAACTCATACTAAGTTAGTGTTTTTAGTTTTAAATTTTATGAGAAAAACACTTTAAGATAAAAGTTTTAACTTCAAGATAAAAGTTCAAATGGTTCCCAATATAAAAAATATTTAACAGAAATGCTTGCAAAAAAAAATATTATTAAAAATTCAAATCTAACAAGGTCATCACCAAAGTAAGTTGCATAAAAAATTTAAAAATCATGAGTGTAGGGATTTGGTCACAAAATAAATCTATAATCAAGTAATAAGATTTATTTATAAATATTGTGGTCAACATAGTTGTCTTGTATGATTAATATAAAAAAACCAAGAACTAAACAATTTTAATACTGCCTTTACTATTATGCACACTAAAAGAAGCAATCATACTTTGTACTAACAGTGTGTTTTTCAATATTTTTAAAGAAAATTATAAATTTAGTTCATAACTTTTCAAATTAAATATTTTTTAATAATTTTTCTTGCTGCATTAAGTCCCATAAAAAATACTGAATAATAAAATCAAAGATTACTTACAAAAGAAGCACTAGCTAAAGAACAAACATAAGATTGAGGTTTTTCTCGATCCTTAAATCTAAATGTGATATCATTTAAATTCTTGCGTTCATTAAATATCCATTCCTGAGGACCCTCTTTCTTCAGCAATGCAAGATATTGAAATAAAAGTGTGACAATCTCATCAGTGTGATCTAAAGGAAGAAATATTAAATTCAAAAGGAAAGGAAATCAACAAAAAATAAACTAGGAATGCACAGTGTAGAAATTAAAAAATGAAACACTTTAATAACCTTTGATACAATAATCGGATTACACTTACTAACATGTAACCTTAATTGTTTGAGAAGCTAGCCTTGGATATGACATTTATTTACCATGGGCAATGAAATAGCTTCTAATGATTAAAGTACCAAATCTGAACCAATTTTCCGGTAAAGCTGACCAGATGAAAGAAATTTCATAGTAAATAGTTTAACACAAACTATGTGTCAGTTTAAAACTAAAAAATGAAGGTTTAGAAATATTTTTTAACTTAATAAACTTAATTCCAAATAAATTACAGGCTGTTAAATGAAGAACAATATCCTTTTTTTTTTTTAATTCATGCTAATATTGAAAAGTGGAGTAATTCATCATTGAAGTACTCTAAAGACAGGTCATCTTGAAAAAATATGAAGAATTATTTATTACACATTTTGACTTTTACAGGAATTCCCATTAGGCACTTCAGTTGTTTGGTGTCCCGCATCAAAATATGTTATTGTATGAACTGAACCAATAAGATTTAAACTAGAAAAATGCTTTTTTTACTTAAGGTAAGATGTAAGGTTTCATTAAGTCTATACCTCATAGGCATAATCCATTATAATTTTGTAAATAGTTAATATTTATTTTTTTATATAGATAAATACTTAATTCTCTTTACCTAGAACACTGTTGACGTCTTATATGCATTTCTTTCTCAATAAAAATATTTTCACTTATTTTTCTCGCATATTTCATTTATTGCTTATAATTAAACTACCAAAGAATTCAAATTTGTTGAACTATAATTAAATAAAATCATAGAAAAATAATTAATATAAATTATTTATTACATTGAATTATCTTTGGACAAGCAAGTTTTATAATTATGTGTGTGCAAGAATTTCTTGGCCTTTAACAGTTCGGAAAATATGGCAAAATACACAAAAAATGAAATTAACATTAAGGGGTAACTAAAGGGGTAAACTTAAGTGATAACTCTAATTCGAAATTCTCACGTCATAATGATATCGTATTAAAAATATCTGGCTTTGTAAAACCATATGAAAGGGATCAAATGGTAAATAACTGCAAAAGAACAATCATCAAACAATGTGAAATTACAATGGAATCATTATGAATCAAACGCGCCAAGCAAACTCTTCAAAAAGTGATCAAGCAAATTCTAAATTCACATGTCATAACAACATAGTACTTAAAATATTATAATTTGAAAAACTATGTAAAAAGAGGGGAAAAAACTATTAAAAACTGCTGAAAATCTATCATATAACGACGTGAAATTATGATGGAATTGTCACAAATCGAATGAGTCAAAAACTGAATACTCAAATTTGAAATTGGCACATCTTAATAACATTGTATAAAAAATACCGGAATCTGAAAAGCCACGTGAAAAGGGTTCAAAATAATAAATACTTCTGAAAACTATCGTCAAAAGATGAGAAATTACGACCAAATGGTCACAAATCGAACGCTTTTAAAAAAAATTGATGGCTCAAATTCGCATGGTGTAATAACATATTAAATACATCGGAATATGAAAAATTTTAGGAAAAATCACCAAAAAAATTATGAATTACTGCTGAAATGACTGAAACTTTAGGACACTTTGTTTGTATCAATCTTAACGAAGCGCTGCTCACGGATTGAAGCATTCGGTGATTACTTGTTGATTTAAAGTTTATCCCTGTTTTACCTAAGACATCAAGGTTTTTTTGACAGGTTTTCCTTTAAATTAAAATAATAAACATCAAATTACTCATGTACGGCGTGATATGACGTACAAATAATAAAAGTCAAATCAAAGAGCTGTTGGATACAGTTGCAGTCAGTAAACAGAAACTAGTTGGGTCACTCATGAAAGTATTGATTGCGTATTTAGTCATGTGATTCTCATTAAGGCTTGTATAAGACAAAAAAGAGGTGGGCCTGAAGCATTTTATATGTCACTGAAAATATTATTAACAACCATATTTGGCCCAATAATTTATGCTCTGGGCACCATATATCTAGGAACCCAAAAGGGAACCAAAGTTTAGTCAGGAAAGGCTTCCCATGTTCATAAGCTTTCCACACCTGCCTTGAGCTAACCAATTCTCAACCAAATCACTGGCATTCACCAGGATTGCTTTTTTCAAAAAAATTCAGATTCTGGACAATACAGTCTCAATAGTTAAATCAGGAGAATATTCGACAGTTTGGTCTTTTTTTATAGTACATTTACTTTTTTGCAATTTCACTATCTTTACAGAAGTATTTCAAATTAAAAAAAAAAAATTCTTGCAAAATAAAATTTTTTGAAAGATTTTTATTTCCTATAATAAGAATCAAAAAATTTAAGTCATTTTGCATATCAAATTTTACTTCATTTTAAACTATATAATTAAAGATGACAAAAAAAGTTTAAGCAGAATAGATTACATAGTTTCTGATACAATATAATTTCAAAAGTTATTGCTAAATTTAGATTCCTCAAAAACTGTTCCACCAACCCTACTAAAATTTTGGATTTCACCATTCAAAATTACATAAATTAAAGACGTGTAAAAATTTTATATACCTTACAACTAACTTCTTTCCACTCATTATTAAAATAAATATTAAAAATAATAAGTAATCTTGAAAAACTATATTTTGCCTGAATTTATCATTACATAAGCAAATTTTAAAATTATGAGCAAAAGTTTTATATTCGACCATATTTGGATTGTCCAGAACAGAGATGGTGAGCCAATGGCACGCGTGCCATTTATGGCACTCGACACAATATTTTGGGAACGCCGCCGATCACAAAGTTCACTATGAAGCTATTAACAGTTAAATTAAAATTCACTAAAAATGAACAATCAATGCCAAAAAAGCAATTAATAACCATAAAAAAACAAGCTAACAATGAATAACTTGCAAAAAAAAAATAACAGTTCTGTTTAAACTAACATCTTATAAACCTAATATAAGTTATTTGTCATCTAATCTGCAACAACAGAAGTCACACTGATGTTACTTTAAGTTGAATTACGCGTATAACTGAGACATTGCAAAAAAAAAAAAATTCGTAGTAAATAAAGAGTTTTGAGTTGATAGTATTTAGTATTATTATTTACCCAATAATCACGTAGTGAAAACTATTTGTCGGCACGTCTATGACCTCATAAAAAAAAATTACAAAAAATGGCACGTTGGTGCATAAAGGCTCGCCACCCCTGGTCTAGAAGATGAACCTGTCAGAAAAAAACCTGAGCTAGAGAAATTAAATTTTTCATTTTGATTTTGTAACTTAAAATACTTTTACAAAAATTAATTAGCATATTTAAGGTTACACTTCATACATCTTAGTTCCTGAACATCCAATCACAAATCTAAAGTTATTCATTTGTTCTGTTTTTTGTTTTGCATACTGTCTTAATAGTAGCTGATAGTTAATTCAGTTAGTTAATAGCTGGCAATGAATGCTATAATCCTAGGTATTTAGAATTCTTTTTTTTTATCCTCAGAAATAAACTGAGTGTAACAAATTTCATTTTAATAGAAAATGATCATTTTATTAATAAAAAAATTTCATACCAATGCCTTCTTCAGTTAGTTCCAGATCCACAATAAAGAATGCAAACCCTTTAGCACCAGGTTTATAACCAGAAACTATACTATTAGCCCAACCTATTAAACATGTTATGATTAATAAATGAGCCTTAAATTATTTTGTTATATTTCTTTCAATTGCCCTCATATGTATACATAGAACGCACAGACACATATATATATATTTTTCTTACACAGCAACAAAAAAAAGTTCTCACTTTTTGCATTAGCAGGGGTGATTGTGAGTCCAAGTCAAAATTCCGGAAAATTTCTTGTGTTAAAAAAAAAAACAGTTTAAATTGAAAAATTAGAAAAAAATTTAAACAAGATTTTTTTTTTCTTCTTCTCAATATTTCTAATCTTACTTAAAATATATTTAAAATTTTACACATACCTATACCATTTACACATACCTATGATGACCTGGAAAAGTAATTAAAATTTATAAATATGTCTTTCTTTCTTGAGTTTATGATTATAATAACTATTTACTGATAAAAAATGAATATTAATCCTGAATATAAGCTTAAAAAAGTATCTGGCTCTCCCTTACAAACAAATAAAGTAAACTGTGTTTTTAAGTTTCACCTTTGAAAATTTTATTTCCTGAAACTTCTGTAATCAATGATTTTTTTAAACATCTGGACCTTCGATCTCCGGAAACTTCCAGATCACTGTTAGCAAAAAATCCGGAAATCCGGTTTTTTTTTCGGAGCACAATCAGCCTTGCATTAGCAACAAAGTAAGCTTTCATAAGCATGAAGGTGTAAAATAGATGTATACAAATTTCTAAATGTAAAATCTTTTCTCACAAAAACAACAAAAAGTTAAAATAAACTGACCAAAGTTGAGAGGAATTGAAAGGTTAAAAGCGAATAGTTCATATCAACAAACACAGCGTTCTGTATTATGTTTTAATTATACTTATGCGGGCTCAATAATAATAATTTTATTCATTGAAAAATGAGTATTAGTCATATTGTTATGCTTTCAAGCATACTAAAAAAAAGCATGCTTGAAGAGCAGAAGAAAAGGTTGATGACAGTTATGAAGATGAAACATTGAAAAAATGTGTATGAAATGTCACTTCATATATGTTATTTTAAAAATCATAATTATTGTTTTGTTTCTGAAAAGTTTTTTTATAGTAAGTCATTTATTTCATTTTAAAAAATTTTATTTTAATAACTTATTTTTGAATAAAATTTTAATTTTTTAAAGAGGAATTAATTTAATATATATGAGTAATTAATTTAAAGATATTAATAATTCATTTAAATTTTTTTAAGATTTTATGCTAGAACACATTTTAAATGAGTTTAACTTAGTAGTAAGAGAAACAAGAATGGTTTGCAAAGCAAACCTTATAAGATTGCATCACAATCTTAGGGCGTTGGAAAGGTTAGCAAACAGGGTATGGAGTCCAGCAGTTCAATAAAATAATTAAATCTTTCAGTACAAGAGTTAATTACAAGCAATCACATATCATAGTAGGAAAAATTTATTAATAAAATCTAATTTAAAAATTAGTTTGAATTAAAATTCTGCATAACTAAATATATCATAAAACCAATATCTTACAATCTGATAAGCTTTTTTAAGCCAATGTGAAACAAATATATCATGAGGTCAATGCCCAAATAGCTAATCAGAAATTTGTAGGCTACTGACCAATTAATTCAAATAATCACAGTATTTTAAGTTTTGATACTCTGATCAGTTACTTAAATTCAAAAAAGCTCTAAAAGAAATCAAAATGGTCATAGTGTAAATGATTAACTCAGATGAAATCAGCAATCAAGATAAAAAGCAAGTGAAATTATTAAAATAATGAATAACTTAATAGTAATTGGTACTAAGAAGATTGAAATGCTAGCACAAACAGTGTGTTTATTAAATCTCTTTAAATTTATAAGAATGGTTCATTTTACTGATGCTTATAATGGGATTTACTTTTATAATGCTACTCAGTACCAAAATATTATTGCTTAAACTTTTTTGTACAATTTGAAATTTCTTTAAGTTTTTATATGTTATTGTATATATTACTTAGTTATGCATAATCTAATCTAATGGTGCATAATCTTTCAAAAATGTAGACCAAGCATGCAAATAATGGGGTAAAATAAATTTTGCGAGAAGTTGCTTTTGTCTGATTAATCTTATATGATAGCACTTAAACATCATGATAAACTTACACTGTACATCTAATTGAAAATGTTGGTGGATATTAAACATCACTAACAGAAGGTCTCATAAAATCCACACTGATTTCATTCAATAGTGATAATACAAATTTAAGAAATTGAGAGGAAATATCCAATTGTGTGAATATATCAAGCTTGTTTGCAAAATAAAAAAGGATTAATAATAAATTAGCAATTATTGTAGGTTGGGGCAGTGGTGTGTAAGGAGCAGAGCTCCCTTGCAATTTCACTCAAATTTGTATCCTAATTTCCAAATATTTTTCAAACAGAAACGGCATCTAAATGAAGTCAAAGAGCATCTGCTAACATAGATATCAAGCAAAGAACATAATACTTCAGACAGTTTTCTAATAAATATATTTTTTAAAAAAAACATACTAATATATGATTAAAAATTATATCATGAATAAATAGAATTATAAAATTTGCTTTAAATTATCAACTTCTTTTATATATCTGGCCCTAAAAATATACAAAGCAACTAAAAAGTTAAAATTTTTCTACTACAACAACATACTAATAAATTAAATAATAATGCATACCTAAAGATTTCAATTCTGATAAAAGACTTCCTGGGCCCTCATGACCAATAAGATGTGCTAAATATGACGTTGGCTATAATAATAACAGAAATATTAAAGGAAGCATAATAAAACATTATAAAAGACAACAATAATTTTAAAAAAAAATTACAAATAATTTTTTTAACATATTTATCATAAACATAAGCATTTCATCATAATTTGTAAATTTGCAAAAAATAAATTTTTAAAAAAAAAACTTTTATTTCCTATTATGAACTTAAAACAAAATAATTAAAAGAAATAAAAAAAAGATTTAAAATAAAATTTTAAAAACTCCTTAAACAAGTAAACCCAGTTTTAAAAAATACCTTTAATTAACTGTTCAGAATTTGTAAAAATATAATTTTAAAACATAATTGCTTATATCCTTTTGTCATACAACTTTCCATATTACATTTGAGTAAATGCAGTTTTATATTAGGGGTTCCTACATCATGTTTTCCTTCATATATTGTATTAGTAATACAGTGTAAAGTCGCGTATCCGGAATCGGTGGGACTTCCAGAAGTCCGCATAATAGATTTTTCCGTATAATACACCCCCAAGGTAAACAAAGCTTAAAATGATTTAATAAACGATCTGAATCTAAGAAGCAAAAAATAAATAAACACTATTTTTAAGGGGAATAATGTTTTAGCATTAAAATATCTAATCAATCAAATATAAAATATTAGAAAAAAAATATTATTACTGAAAATATAGAAAACGAAAAAAATTTAACAGTTACGAAAATATTAATCCGCCATTTTGAACTAGAATGATTCAAGCAGGAAGGGGAAATTCTGGAATAAAGCTTAAAATGATCTAAATCTAAGAAGCAAAAAATAAATAAACATTATTTTTAAGGGGAATAATGTTTTAGTATTAGAATATCTAATCAATAAAATTTGAAATATTAGAAAAAAATTATTATTGCTTAAAAATATAGAAAACTAAAAAAAATTGACATATGAAAATAATAATATTCATTTTTAACTAGAATGATTCAAGCAAGAAAGGGAAATTCCCGTCATTCATTAAGGTGGGTAGATGGAGGAGAAAAATTCATTTCCTTTTTATTTGTGAAAGAAAATAAGTGTAAAGAGGAGATCATTTAAGTTGAGGGTGGGGAAGTAACAAATTATTGTTTTCTCTCCAATCATTGGCTATCAATCAAGCATAAAGGCGGGACACGCGGATCGGGTTCTCTTTATTTTTTCTTTTATGACTGAAAAAATTTGCTAAAGAAAGAATGTTACCCCCTTTTTCCCCCGCCTCCTAAATATTACATGGTATGGGGAAGAACGAATGTTTTGTTTCTCAAGGACGTGTATCCTTTTAGACCTATTCAAATTTTCCATTCTGTCTCCCCCTCCACCTTAACGCTTGCCCCGTTTACCCTTTTCCACAGTATTTCTTCTTTCAATAAAAAGGTTCCAGGAAATGCCTCTTTTACTAGCCACCTGCAAGGGAAAGGAGGGGGGGGGACTCAGTTGCAGTCTTTTGAAAACAAATCTCCCTCTTTTTCCTACATTCCAAGGGAGGAGCGTCACTAACGGTCACTCAATGGTCTTGGTAGATCTTCACTTCCCCTTTCTGGTGATTTATGGGTTCGATGCATAAATCAGAGGTTCAGTGCAAGCTAGAAAAAGAGAAACTTTGTCAAAAGATCTCTCTTTTTTTTTTTTTTAAGGAAAGGGGAAGATGGAGAGATGTTTGTTTATTTTGATTGTTAAAAAGTGTCCGGGAAATCGACCCTTCCGGGAAAGGGACGTCCGGATATGGGACGTTACACTGTAGTACAATCATAGTACAATTACAATCACACAATTTCACTTGCAGGAAAAAATTGTTATTTGTTGATTTCTAGACAGCAGTTCAGCCCTTGGTAAATATAAAGTATTCCTCCTTTATCAAAGAAGTTCTGTGTCAAGAAACTATTAGTCATCTTATTAAAAATTGGAAGAAAAAAATTTCGCCAATTGTTTCCAAATTATGTTTGCTCCCTGGCAATGAGGAGGTAAATACACTTGCAAAGATAGTCTAGTATTTGCCACAACATAATTCATCCACCCCTTTGAAAATCTATAAATTATTGATCAAAAAACTCTGATATAGTGATATTGTTGCAGGGAAAAGTTGGGAATGCCTTTCACATGATACAAACAGTAGTCCTCCTGATTAACCAAGGAAGCTAGGTTTATCCTGTTTTTGCATCTTGATGGGCTATAATTAGCATGAGCAGGATCTCAATAGAATCAGAGCAAAAAAACTCTGCATCATGCCCTGTATGTGGGAATGGTTTTAAGAAAAGAAAAATCTCATTATTTGCTCCAAATTAAAATATATTGACACTAGAGATTGAATTTTAGTATTACACACTTATATTGAACAACAAGACAACATATGGCTGATTGGCTTAGGCTGGGCATAAAATAAATAAATTAACTATTATAATTATTATCAGGGGTCTGTCTAGGTTTTTCTGAAAGGTACCTATTTTGTGAAAATTTAGACATAATTTGTGAAAAATTAAAAATTATATTACAAAATCAATACAAAAACATGGTAAAAATATAGATTTATCGTTTCTTAAGGGATAAAAAAAAAACATTTTAAGAAAAAGTATTTTGTGAAACTACCGTTTTTCCTAAAGTTGAATTTGTGAAACTACCGTTTCACCTAAAATTGAATTTGTGAAGGTACCGCTAAACGGTAGTAAATTCGGCCTGGACAGACCCCTGATTATTGAAAGCAACATTATAACTTTATTTATAGGATTCATGCTGAAAATTTAAATGTTTTAAAATATGTTATAAAATAGGCAAACAAATATATTTAAAAACTTTAAAGAAACATAAAATTTTCAAAAGGAAAAAATTGCACGATTAACTAACCACACGCTCACAACAGGGTGTTAATCAGTTTATTCAAGGAAATATGTTACACATAACAAAATATTTAAAAGTTAAAACTAAAAATTGTTAATGCCACATAGGAATTAAAAATAACATCATACAGTTTGATACAAAAATAGCATTAAGGACAAAACCAAATTTATTAAAAATAAACTCTTACAGCTTATGAATAATACTTAACAGCTCACTCTAAGAATCCCTTACAAAGAAATTTATAAAAATTAACACCAAAAATTAAGCAAAACAAACTCTATGTAACAAGAAAAAAAACTATGTTTGTAATAATTTGGAAGAGCAGGAAGAATTAAAAGCAGAATAAGACAATAAAAAAAACCATATTTTAAAATTTAAAAAATACAATTAATGTTTGATACAACTTCAGTTATTGAATAGAAAACCAACATTATAACACGAGCGCATTATATTGTGACAATACAACAATACTATAAGTGTTTAGATGCAATTAAAAAAGCTTGATTAATTATGAAAAAAACAATACTTTACATTAATAAGAATTATGTAATTAATAGATTATTTGATAATAACGCAATCAGCAACAAATCAGAGATCACGGCCACCTAGACAAATCTAGAGGGTCATGTTACTTTTCATTTATTCAAAGGAAATTCAAGATGCTCTGTATTTAATGTATAATAGAAAGAAGAAAAAAAAAGAATCGCCCTGAATAAGTTTTGATCTAATGCTCTGATTTGTATGTATTAGGACTCAATTTTAATGGTTCGAGAGGGTGACCTAAAATATGTAAATTAACTAGGGCAGACAATATTCTAAGTTACAAAATCAGACAAAAACATATTTTCTTTGAATAAACATAAATTTTTTGATGCATTTGGATTTCTGACCCTTAAATTATAAGTGGTAGCTGCAATCTGAGAAATATGATCTAAATAGTTTGGCCAGGAGAATGGTCTTAAGTTCAGACTCCTTAATGTTAATTTAACATTTTGTGTATTTCGACATTTTTTTAAACTTCTAATGGCAGATTATGAACAGTTACAGCAGAAAACAATAAAAAGAAAGAACACAAAGTACAACAAAAAATGCTGAAACACAGTTCATTACTCTAACATATCTTTAGCCTCCCAATAATGCTCGGTGAGAAAAATCTTGACCAGAGCAGGACAGTTGAATAGATGTGCAGAGTCCAAGACCTCTCCAGAGCTGTACAAAGTGCATATCGGGGAAGGAACAATTTAGAGTCTAATAAGATGGTTTCTTAGGCAGTCGTGACTGGTAGATAGGTGAAATTCAGTCACAGTTCTACGCCTTGGGCCATAAAACAAATTTGGGATGGTATTCTTTCAGGACTTTCGGGAAACACGGTTATAGAGGTCTTCCTGAGCACGAGCTTTAAGAGATATTTTAATAAGATTTTTAATAGTATAGAAGGGCATGGGACAAGAAATTACTTGCATAACTAAAGTACCCTTGTTAGCCAGGAAGACAGCAAACCACAGGAGTACTATAGTTTAATCAAGTGATGCCAGGTTTTTAAGATGATAGCGGCAATGCAATATGTCCTGGGTTATGGGATTATTGTCAGAAACGATATCCAACAGAGCAGCTCCAGAATCACTGAGTACTTCATCATACCTCAGGAATTATTTTAATAAAAAATTTTTACATTCAATTATAAAATTCATTTATCCTAAGAAAAGCAACAAAAAATTTTTTTTATTATTTTATTGCATTTAAAAAATACAGTCGAAAAATTTTGAATTGTAAGGTATATAAATTTTTGCATCATTTCAAAGAAAGTAATTTTAAACAGCAAAATACAAAATTTTAAAGAAATTGATCAAATGATTCCACTTTTTAAAATTCAACCTCTCAGGAAGTATTCAATCAATTTTATTCAAATTTTGTATTTAGACATATAAAATTACATTCATTAAAATGATGTAAAAATTTGTATACCTTACAATACAAAATGTTTTGACCATTATTACATAAAAGAATGAAAAATAATAATAATAATTGAAAGTGGTTTTTTGCATCAAACTATCTTTAGCTAAGCAAAATTTATAATTGTGTGCAAAACTGTTTCCAGTTCTCGAGATATAGTGTCTACACTTACTAATTAGCATATTTCAGGTAATTGCCTCAAACCATTAAGATTGAGTGCTAATACATGAAAATCTGATTATTAAATCAGAAGTTATTAAGTTTTTTTTTGCACACTGTACATTAACATCAAAAATAAGAGTGGCTTTAATTAATAATATCTTTTGAAAATTTTATTTAATAAAATGACTTATTACCAATTTAAAAATATTGTTTTGAAAGCTTGAAATTGTTTCACACTTATTTACGAAGCAATTTTCATGGGAATAAAAAAAAATCAAATGGGCATTAAAATGATGTGATGCCGTTGGATTAGCAAACATGACTTAATGTGTCGGTCATTATAATGGAAAAGTTGCTGTAATGGGGTTGCACTAAAAAGCAACTGTTACTAAGAGTTACTACTTGAAAATAAACAACTTTTTTCAGCATGTAAAAAAGTAAGAGATGGATAAGTACCAATTTTTTAGCATCAGTCACAAACTGCTGATGATGCAACTTAGTATCAGTTACAAAAAATTTATACTTTTTATCCTGTGATACATATTAGTCTTAATCTTAATTCATAGAGGTCATGAAAAATTACAGAACAAAATTTCCTTAATTTTATAACATATTTTGTTAATTGATTTGTTAATTTTGAATTAAAAAAAATACTAGTTTTGACATTGTTAGGTCTATTTTTCTTATTTTTTTACTTAGAATAAGTCATAAGTCATTTTAAGATTCTTTTACCTAGAAAGAAATCTTTAAAAAAAAACAATTCAAATGTTCCGATTAAAATTGCATGTTCGTCAAAATGCTACATTCTAAACAAAAGAAGAAAAAAAAGAAAAAAAACATCAAGACAAAATGCTAAAAATCAGGAACATTGAGATAACTAAGAACCCTACATCATAGTTTGAGATCAATATGCAAAAACTTTTTTAGTTCTGCTGCATTAAAGAAAATCAGTATTAATAAGTTAAAATTCCCTTACACTAATATGTAATTAAGATTTGCTATCAAGTTAAAACTTCTTTTAATTATATAATTTTAAGTAGAACTTAAATAATCTTGAATTGAAAACACAGTGACAACATTTTTGTAAAAAGTAATTTAATGGATCATCCCTTGACATATAATTTAAGAATTCTATTTAATTGCATTGTTGATTAATATCAATCATTTTGAAAATCAGATGAAAGATATGAATCAATAATTGGGAAACTACAAAACTCTACACAAGATTTGTATTGCTAAAAATAATAAATGAAGGTATGACCGCTGAATTCAGCTCCATAAAAATTTCATAACGTAAAACATTTAATTAAGTCTTTGTTTTCATAAAATGCATTGCAGGTAAGGCTATATGTATAAACTATGTATATTTTCAGTAGACAGTCCTTAAGTTTGAACTATCGAAGTTTGCAATTTTCACAAGCATTATTAATTCAAATAAAAAAAGGTTGGATAAAAATTCACAGTTTGCTATTCCTTAAAACAATTAATTTAAAATTCACTTTGTACTCCTAGAAAATTTGATGTTCTAAACAGAATCAAAAATCAGGAGTTTCAGGGCAAAAAGGGGCCGTTAAAATATTACATGAATATATTTTAGAAAATTTTGAACTTCCTCCTTTTCAACAAAAAAGGAAATCACAACCCTCCCTTATGCTTAAATTGCAACATATCCCCACACCCCTGGTTTACCACTTTACTTCACTTTACCTGGTTTTACTTTCACTTTAGTAATCTAATTTTAGGACTGAATTTATAAAAGATATAACTTATCATGAAACAAAATGTAGTTTTTAATTTATTTTATAAAATTTTGAATAGAATATTCTTCAGGAAACTTTTGTGTTCAAAACTCTAAATCTCTGAAATTTTTTGAAGAAATTTTTTTCCAATTTTTTCTTCAAGTTTAGTTTTATTCCAAATTTGAAATTTTTCATGTGAAACTTTTTATTGCATTTTATACTGTTTTTCAAGAAAATTTTTTAAATAAATGGATTTTAGTATTTTACGTACAATTGCTTTTGCTGGACATCAAAAATAAGCAAATCACATCCCCTCCTACTAGTAGGTGCTTTCATAATACTTAACAGACCCAAAGCAAAAAAAATCAAGACAAATAGGACAAAATATTTTTTATCAGGAAAAGCCAAGAATGTCAGGAGAAATATGAACCCTATAAATGTGACAAACATTTTAACTATCAATTCTGGAGGAAACTGCAACAAAAAAAAATAACAGTCAACCCAAAATAAAATTAAATATTTTAATAATGGCCCAACACAAAAAAAAAAAAAAAAAACATTATATCAACTATTAGACTACTGACACATGAATGATACTCATTTTGAAGGTCTGGGACAGGAAAAGCGATGTTCATGTTCTGGATATCCTTCACAGGTACAACATGTCCTTGAAGCTAAAATTACAAAATTAACAATAAATAAAAGCAACATTAAATTAAGCATAGTAAATATGTATAAAATAAAGATAGAATTATTTATAAATCTGCAACTTTTTGATGAGTAAATACGAAATTAAAAATTTAAAAATAATTACATGAATGCATAAAATTTTAGAAATAGGCAGGATAACATAAATCTAAAAATTTGAAACTTCATGTTTTAAATAAAATTTTAACTAAGGTTCTTAAAAGCATCATTAGAAGTGTCAAAGGTAAGGGGTCTTTGTCAAAGACGTTTTAACGCAATTTATAGAACTTTCAAAAGAGCCCGATATCATTAAAAGTAATGAAATAAAAAGAATGATCTGGGCAGCTCATGTGACCAGAATGGAACATTTTTGTGTTAAAGCCTTTTAGTTGAAAAAGAGGAAGGCCAAAACAACAATGGCTTAATTCTATAGAATCAAATTTTGAGAGTAGTTGAGGTAAAAGACTGGCAGTCCAGGTCAAAAAGTAGGTTGTCCTGAGGAAATATTAATAGAAGACCTTGGCGTATCCTTGGCTATTGTGACAAATATGAGGATAAAATGTATCTTAATGTCATGGATAACCCAACAAATTTCTTTTAAAATTTCAATTGTAGTAGTTTTTGCAGTTTTTTTTATTGTACATAAGATTTTATACTTCATACAATTAAATATTTAATTAAAATATTGCTATTATCTTTAAATTATTTATCTCAAATTATAAATTATGTTAACGTATTATATAATTCAATAACCACAAAGCAAATTTGGCTAACGAAATCTATTTACTCTACACAAAAACAATTGTAACAGTTTTGATTAAAAAAAGTCAGTTTTTTTTCTATTTATTTTAATTTTAAGTGACAAAAACCTCTGAAGAAGGAGTTACTTTCATTTCCAGGAAAGAAAAAAAGCAGAGCAGAAGTTATTAACTGTTTGTAACCGCTATCTATTTTCCCTCTTAATACAAAAGAATCTATTTTCACTAAAGTAAAAAAATTCTAAATACAAAGGTTTCACTTACTTTATGATAAGAGGGAGGGTTGGGTGGAAATGGGTAATAGTGCATAATATTTTTTAGCATTTTTTTTTATTGATATTAAGCAAAACACATAGACTATGCTTTTATATGCTTTTCATAGACTATGCATGTTGCATAGCAAAACAATAGACAATCAGTTTTATCTACCAGTCAGAAGAGTAATCTAGGAAAGAAGCAACATGTAAATTTTTGGCTGATTTTAAAAATAACACAGCATGAAGGAAAATAATTTAAACTCAATTTTATTTTCTAACTAGAAACTCTAACACTCAAACCTTTATTATCATAACTAAAACTATAGAAAAAGTCATAGCTTTAAAATTACAATGAACTACTTGTCTGTAACATTAAAAAAAATTTAAAAATATGCATCTGATCATCAACTAAAAACCTACTTTCTAGATTACCTTGTACTTTGCATAATTAAAGATATTTTGCTTAGCAAACCTGCTCATAAAATTATTTATCTTATTTGACTTTACTTTAGATACAGCTTATAAAGTAGTATTACATAATTGGTTAAGTTAAAATAGTAAATACAGCAGTCAGAATATAATTTCAGACATTTGTTACCAAAAAGTGAAGAATATTGGCTTAACATCTTTGAGGTATATACTTCTCCACTGAAAAAGACTAATACAGTCGAACCTCGGTTTAAAGAACCCCTATTTACTGAACTTCACGATTTAAAGAATGTTTTTCTCCTCTATTAAAATGAAGGCAAAAAAGGGTATTTAACAAATTTTAAAAAAAATAAAAATAACGAGTAATTCCGGCAATCTAAAAAAAGAAATTCTTAATTTGGGTTAGAAAAACTATTAATTGCTTTTCAAATGATTACAGTATCCATACTGTCAGGTACATAAAACTACTTTTTTTGTATTCATCAATTTTAGACATGGGTGATCTCAGTTCAGACCTCACAGGTGCATAAGAATAACGATTGAGTGTAACCAGTAAGAACAGGAAATTCCTTTCTTATTTCTCACATTCTACAATAACAAAGAAGAGAGGTGTACAGGATGCTTGTGAGGACAAAAAATTCCTTTCTAATTTATATTCCTTAGAAGTAAGGTGCGTTGGAAGCTCATTTTCGTAGAATATTTGATTTTTGAGAGGTTATAAAACATGGCAGATTGGCGAAAATGAAAACGTTTTTAGTAGAGTGAGTTTTTGAGTTTGACAAAAACCTTAGACCACAAAGCGCTTCAGCAGAATGTCTCAAAATCTCCACATCAACTATAGCTAAAATTTTTAAACAATGAGTAGAAATTGAAAAAAACTTGGAAGGTGGTGAAAAATCGTCGCAAGAAGTCATTGAAAGCCAATCCCCTTTCTTGAGTCTGATCTAGTAGAATGGTTCATCATCGTTTGCACCAACAATATAGCCACAAATGGGCCTCTGATCATAAAAAGCCCTTCAACTAGCTGATAAGCATAATGTAAAAGACATTTCCGCATTCATTGTGTAAGATCGACCGCTTTAAAAAAGGATACAACATAGTCAAAAAGAAAGTGTGCGGAGAAAAGGCAGATGCAAATGAAAATGAAGTAAAAGGAGAGTTGCTCAACCTGATTGAAGGATATTCACCATACAACACTTACAACGCAGATGAAACATGGTTGTTTTATGACTTAAACACAACAAAACACTTTGTTATACAAATTAAAAATGCTTTGGCGAAAAAAAAGAAGTAAACTGAGGGTTATGGTTTTGCATGCAGTAAATGCTGATGGAACAAACAAATGAAAGCCATTTGTGATAGGAAAAGCAGCAAAGTCGAAATGTTTTAAAAATGTAAAGACTTTACTGACAAAGTAAGCAGCAAACAAAAATCCTGGGTGATTTCTTTTCTATTTGCAGATTTTTTAATGTTACTAGATAAGTCAATGAAGATACAAAAGAGAAATATTATTTTGTTTATTGATCAATGTCCCCCCAAATTTTCAATCAAAAAAACTTAAAAGTAGTGTTTTTTCCCTGAAAATTGCACAAATGTGCTTCAGCTACTAGACCTTGGTTCACTCCTTGAAAATTAATTACAGAAAGTTGCTTATGAGGAAAAATTATCATTGTTAGAGAAAAATGGGGAGGAAAGATACAAAATCACTGTTTTGGATGCATTATTTTTTTAAGACAATCTTGGGATCAAGTTTCGGAAAATACAATTGAAAAATGCTTTCAGAAAGCGAGATTTCCAGGAGCACAAGTCCTCTTTTCATTATCCTTCAGAAGAAGACATAAGGAAAGAAATTGCATTAATAGATTTTAATGATTATGTTACATGTGATGATGGATTATCTATGTATGCAACTTAAGTTAATAAGGTAGATTAATTGAAAACAATGAATAGCGACTCTGACACGGAAGTCGATGATAATGCATCTCCAGTGAAAACTGTTTCTTTTTCTGATGCTTTGCACAGCTTGGAAAAAGTGAAAACTTACCTAATGGAACAAGATGTAAATGGTAGAGTATTTTTTTTTCTGTTCATGGCATCAAAAAAAAACATTTTAAAGTAAGTAAACCTTAAAATTTCAAAGAAATAAGTAAACCTTACTCACGAAATGCTTTCAAATTTCAAATTAATCAATGTGTAATCATTCACTGTATTTTAAGTTCCTCAATAAATAGTGCAATAGTTCTATTTATTCTGTGTATTTCCTTATTAATGTTTGTATATTCCATAAGGTTAGTCAATTTTTTTTTTCAATTTTGCTGATATTGCAATTACCCCCAATTCAGTGAATAATATTTTCGGTCCCTATGAATTCGTTAAATCGAGGTCAGACAGTATTTTAGAAATGCATCAATATTTATCAAATATTTGTATCTGATCAAAGTCAGAGATTTTAATCTTTTTGAGATATTTTGTTTTAAGATATTTTGTTTTTGAAATTTATGTAAGGTGGCCCACATTACTTTCAAACAACTTTTTATTAAAATATCTAAAATTATAAAAATTATTTCAAGAATGAATTTCTGTCATTCTTTCGTTATTCTATTACAGTTACTAAATAAATAAATAAATTATTAAATTTTGCAAAAAAATGCTTATTTTTCTAGATTTCAGAAAAAAACTAAGTGATAAATTTCTCGGTTTTCAGTTCCAATGCTCTCAAAAATTAAAACTTTTGCCTGTAAATAATTAATACTTAAAAACATATTTTTGCGTTTTAAATCATTTTAAAGCATTAATTTTGAGCTGATATTGGCAGTGTTTAGTAAGCAGGTTTAATGACATGTAAAATAATTTAAATAAGACCAAATTCCATATAAACAGTTAAACAATATATCATGTTTAAAGGTCTAAGTTAGAAGCATGTGTACTGTATTTATAGAGAGAGAATGAAGAGTATATATATTATATATATAGAAGGTTATAATATATTCAAGCTTGTAGATTATATGTTTAAATTGTATCACTATGTGTCATACTTTTTTAGGGAATGAATAAATTGTTATAAAGCTTACCATGTGAAATGGTACGAAATATTTTTAATTCTTTGAATAATTTAATTTCTGAATAATTTAATTTCAATTTTAATTAAATTGAAATATACATTAAATCACACTTTGAATAGGAATAACTTAAGTCTTCTTACATCTAGAACAACTTTAAGTGATAAAATTATAATGTACTTTATGCAGTGTAAATGAGCTACAGCATAGAAATTAAATCATAAACACCTTTAAAAATTCAGGACTAAATGGATGCTTAGGCCAATCAGGAACTTGAACATTCTTATTTGAGACATCCGAAAACAAAGGAAGAACAAAATTTTCTAACTCTTCTAAAGTTTCTAAAAATGCAACATTAAACTAGTATTAAAATGAAGAACAGGTCGGATTTGTGTTGTATATGAATAAAGCTAAAACAATATGTAAAGATACAAACAGGCACATGATTGTTTCAGTACTATAATGAAACACCTTCTTTCAGTGACAAAAAACTGGCATTCTTTGTTTTTTCCACAAAAAAATGGTGCTTTATTTATAAATTAAAATTTCAAAAATTGTTTAATACTTTAGTTATAATGATAAAAAAGGGGGAGAGAAAACATAAAACTACTGCTGAACATAAAACAATGCATTATAGTTGACTTAATAAAAGGCAGTTCCTCAAAATTTATAGGAAAATTATTTCCTTCTTATGAAATTCGATCAAAAAAATTACCCTTCAAAAAAACTTTATATATAAATAATTACGTAACCAATATTATTAAGCAAATAATGTCTTTTTTATTACATGACTAATTTTTACTTCATTCACTGACTAATGCATGTCATTAGCAGTACAAATTTGAATAGCTCATAAAATCATAAATACAACTAATGCACACTTTTTAGCAAATTTAAAACACATTAAGACCACAACAAAAAGGCATTGAGGGATTAAAATTATCAGTAATAAAACAAAAGTATGTATTTAAAGTCATAAATTATAATCTGCGTTTCTGAAATTAATCTTATTGACTTTTTTGATTTGAACATCTCACACTTTAAAGATTTCAAAAATTGCTTTTGAGAAGTATCACAAGTATTCACTGCTATTTTGACTTTGAAATCAATTACTTTTGAAAGTTTGTTTTTTAAAACCTACTTTTGTACACAAAAACAATCACTAATTTGCAGCTAATGGTTTCTTTCTTTTTTTTTTAATTTTAATCTTGTGGAGTGATTTAAAAAGGTTAAATTTTCTTAAGAGTTTAAAAAACAATCAGATTTTTTGATTTTTGAAGTTCAACCTTGTCAAAGAAAAATGTTTAATTTCGATAATATGTTAACTTTAGTGCTACCATATTCAGCCATGTTAAAGTAGGCAAAATTAATATCATTAAAAAAAGAAAGAAAAAGTAAATGCAACCATAAATATAAAAACCACAAAATCACACAAGACTCAAAGACTAGTATTTAACAGAAAGACATTTATGAATGTGTATGACAAAAAGTTACGTTATATTAACAAGGCTACTTCACAAATTTAACATGAGTCATTGAAATCAGATTCTATTTAAGCTTCAAAAAATATGCAACTTAATTTAATATGAAAAGTTTTGAGTTCTAAATAATAAAACATTTTCAATCACTTAAAAAATCTACTTTTAAATAGAGGTCATTTATAAGAAATTCAGTCTTAATCATTTCACTTTCCAAAGCACAGAAAATAAAATTTTCTCGGACCTAATGTTGAATGGACAAAAATGGTGGGGAAAAATTATATACATGGCTCAGTAAAACTTCTTTTGTAATTATATAAATAGTTTACTTTGTTATACTTTGAGCTGAACTCAATTAAAATGACACATTAATTAGGACAATTATTAAATATTTCTGCTAAATTAACACAAAAAGAATATAACAGAGTAAAATTCCTGAAAGAAAAAGCCAATCCTAAATTAATTAAGCAGAAAAAATATCAAAATTTCTTACCTTTGCCGAGGATAATCAGAGACATAATGTTTGAAGAATAAAATTTATTATGGAATTCAAGCAACTTATCACGAATGTTAATTCCTTGAGATTTTGGATTTTCAAATAATGTAAATTTATTGCCTGAAATAATAAAAAAAAAAATTTAGAAATTACATTTGATTTTTCAAATAATTATTTAATTCTATCTCGATTACTTTAATATAACAGTTTTTATATAATTATCAGAATTATTGGGTATGATCATTTATTAATGCAGTTAAATGTATATAATTCCATTACTACAGTCAAATATCAATTCTGTAAAGCAGAATGGAGACATTAAAAATGCTGTAATACCCAAAATTGAATGACACCTGGCAGCAAAGTGGTAGTCCTTCGCTCTCTTGCGCCACATGTCCCAGATTCTACCTTTGGACTGGGCAAGGTTAACTCAGCTTTTCAATGGGTCAATAAAATCATTACCAAGCATTCTTGGGGACTAAACACTGTGGGTTCTGCATTCGGCTGACCACCCAACACAAAAATCTGTTTTTGCACTGCAACATCCCAGACCAAAGAAACTGAGATGGGTACAGTAGATCATGGCCAGAATTATATCTGTGGGAGAATTTGATGAATGGATACCACTAGTTGATTCATTGCTGTTATGTGAGAAGCAGGGAGATCTGTATTAAGATCACCGTACTTTTTGAGCACTGATTGTGACAGCTGTATTAAGTTCACGGTCGCTCCTGTATTGCCTTTAGCAGTGGAGTGTATACATTGTGTGTGATCTAGACTGAGAAGCAACAGTGTGAGAAGGACAATGTCGCAGTCACAAGTAGAAAATCAACTGTTCAGTGTAGACCTTCCATCCAAGTAGGCGTGCTCAAATCGTAGTGGGCATTTCTGTCAAGGTAGGCGTATTCACATCACGTCCGAAGGTCACCAATCAATGTGGGGCGAGGAGTAACTGACAATGTCAACCTTCATCTCTGAATAGGTACCCCATCAAAGAATCGAGTTAGCATGTCTTATATACTAGTGAATTGTAGCTGTAATTTTGTGGTAAATACACTACATGATACTTTAAAAGTTGTATAATGTGTATTTATTTCAAACAATTTTGATACTTTTGATTTTATGTTTATCTAAAATTCTTCTCTTTTCAAATCTTCCTTTTCTGATGTATCTACAGATGCTATAATTTCTTTCCACATATCCGATTCTTCCTCTTTCACCACAAGATGGTTTTTGGGTATTACCAAAAGATATTAAAAAAGGAGATAGCTTACCTCCACCAAAAGGGTGGGAACACTTTGTAATATTCCATAAACTTCTATAAAACATCTAAATAATTGTAGTTGAGAGTGTAACAATCAAGATTAAATTTTATTTACACAAAAAATATTTATGGACACACAAAAAAGAACAACATGCTTCCCAATCAGAGTTTCAATCAGTTTTCTCTCGAGCCAGTGTCAGTGAGTGTGGGAGGAGTCGGGATTAAAGTTAAGCGCGTGATGATGATGCGCTCACGAGACAAAACTAAGTGATAGATTAATGATTTTAATTGCAATTTCCAACACTGGTAATATATATTGCCCACAAGAAATACTTCCTCGTAAGTATCAGTTTCTTATGAAGTCATTAAACTGGTAAATTCTTTTCAGTTTCATGCATGGAAATTCTTATCTATGCACACATCTTGTAAGTCCACTTCTTTAGAAAAAGAATGATTCTGGCAATTTCTTCTAAAATACGGCAATCTCTTTCTTAGGTTTCATAATTCATAAAATTATTCAAGAAAGCATTTTGAATTCTTTAGAAATCAGGGGGGAAATTGATGCTGAGAGATATTTCATAAAACCAAGGGTAATGTATATGGCTAAAAGAGGTTTCCAGGTCAGAAGAAAAGAAATTCAGGATTTAATAGTTAAAGGGTTAAGAGGAAATAAAACTAAATGTAATGAGCTTTAGAAGTAGATAGCATTTTTTTTCTTTTAACTTTCAATAAGGTTACAAAAAATTTTCATGGATCAAAATGCTCAAAAAAAATCTGCAAGGTTACAGTTGAAAAAAGATTGCATAGTAAAATATTTTTGGATAAAGCATATTTTAAACTATAAAAACCACTTAATGTTTAGAACGACTTTTGAAAAATTATAGAAATTAGGATGACTTTTTATTGCAAAATAACTTTGAACAAAAGATATAATTAAATAAAATCTTAGAAATGTATGTTTTAATACACTTTTTTAAAAAAAAAATTTAAAAATAAAAAATACAATAAAAATTGTGCTCTTTCAAGTGTGATACAGTGCTATGAACAAAAATATTATGACATATATAGTTGCATACTTAAAAAAAACTAGGCTAAAAAAAGTCTTAGAAAATAAAATAGACTTAAAAAAAAGAATTATAGACTATTGCAAAAATTTATTTTTAGTTGAATTTATGATTGCAAATTTTTGAAACAAAAACATCTTTAATCATTAACAATGACTGATATTTGTCTAATATGTTCAGCCTATCATAATGCCTGTTTAGTATATCAAATAATTTAATTTCTTGGTAACACTTTAAATATTTAACTAATTTATGAAAAATGACAGCATTTTTGATTTGTCATTGACACTTTTAAGAATACTTTAAAAAGGTAATGATGCATTGTGCCAAAGAGAACATTTATTTCACATGAAATTTTTTTCCTTAATTCACTTAACTTAAAATATTCTTGCCCTTCTTCTCATTTCATTAAATACAGTATAAAAAAAAAAGTTTTCTTAAGAAATATATGAAGGACTTACTTTTTAACAAAAAAATGAAATTTAGTTAATTTATTGGGGTAAGCATTTACATTCAAAAAAAGTTGTCGATATGATCAAATTTCTAAAAGTTCCAAAATTACAACTTTGTATCAGCAAGATTAAATTTGAAAAAATGTGCTTTTCTGAAAATATTTTTAATTTTTACCTGTTCCAAATTTACTAAAATCATGATTAGGATCACATGTAGCTCTTTCTAGCTGAGCCAGCCTCCAAGTATCGCTTTGTAGATTTTTTTCATGTTCAGAATCAACAGCATTAACTTCTCGTTCAGTAGCACTCTCAGTAAATAAAGGACACAAAAAGAACTGGGCAAATCTGGCAAAAGCATATTAAAGACTAATTTTTAAAATGGCTTTAATAATACTGCTAATAATATTGTAATTAAGTAATTTTTCTTTTAATTTTCAGAACAATTACATCATTCAATCAACGCACTATCTGGAAAAAGGACATTAATACCTTTTCCACAGAATAGTGCAGATTAGTGTGTTGCATATTACCCTGAATGGCATCAAATTTTACATTGCCTGAAGAAAAAAAACTTTAAGACTTATTTATTCTCATTCATTATAATTTTTGGAAAAGAATTTCCATTTGAAAATTAAAAATCTTTCTTCTTGATAACTGATTATCAAATATTTAACTTCAATTTTGTGTACATTGTAAGTTTCTTAAAAAAATTTATTTTTCACAATACATTGTCTGATATCTTTTAGTAGGTGTGCAAGCACAATTCAATTTATGACCCTCAAATAATGGGTTAATATAAAGATTCTATTAAGAAATATGAAATCAGAAAAATATATTCATAGAATAAATAATAACAAGATATCTATCTTTACGAATTTTATAACAACCTTAAATACAAATACATCCTCAAAAAACCTTAAATACATATTAAACTTGGTTCAAAGTGTTTTGGTTGGCAATCAATAATCTCCAATTTTTCATGAGATTATATAGTCCCAAAATATACAATTTGAAAAGCCGACTAAATACCAGTAAATTGTTTTAAAACTGAAGTCAACATATTTTTGTAATATCAATTATAATTACTCTTTCATTATCTTCTTATTTCAACTCTTTTCTTTTTCAAAGATTATAATCATAAGTAATTTAATTTTTCTTTTCAAAAATTTAACAAAAAATAATAAGAAACTCAATACTTTTACGGTTTCAAAAAATATAAAAGAAAAAACTAGTTATGAAACTAGATATCGTGTTAAGGCTTTGTAGAAGGGCTAAATAAAATATTAGAACAACATTTTTCAAACAAATCAAAACATCAACATCACATTTAATGAAGCAGTATACATATGCCAGAACACTTTTAAAAAAGTAAATGGCAAGATAAAAAAAGTATAATTAGTTCTGCTTAAGTATAATAAAATTTTATTGCAAATTAATAATAAAATATGCTATTTTCAATTTCAGTATTACTTTGTTTAGAACAGGAAGTTTTAACAGTTTCCAGTATAATTTTATTAATGGAGTATTGATTAATTTTATTAATGGAGCAGGATTCTAAATTCCCTAGAATTAATTGTTCAGAATTTCTATAAATTCCCCCTAACAGAGTTTGATCTTATAGTTGCAATTGACAAATGGTATTTAGTTCCCTAAGACAAAGGTATACAGACATTAAGTGTTAAGAGGATGCTATACCGCAGGAGAAACTTTTCCACACAAATTCTGTTTTACCTACATTAGTAATTTAAAATTTTTAATATAAAAAAATGCATTCATGTAAATAGAGAATAAACCAATACTAAAGAACTCATAACAGTTTCAAATCAATGCAAAGAAACTTGTTGAAGTACTGCTGCATTAAAAAAATAACCAGTATGAATTAGATAATATTCCCTTAAACCTTAAACCAATATATAATTAAAATTTTGAATTGAGTTCAAGATTTCCTTAATCAAATTACTTTAAAGTAGAGTATTAATTTTGAAATGAAAATACAGAGAATATACTACTTCACGCTTTCGTACAAAAGTAATTTCAGTAAATGATCCCTCAATTCATCATTTAAAATTCTTTGATATGATTACTGTGGAATCTTTTAGTATCAATAATATATAAAAATTATATGAAAGAGACAAATCAATAATCGCTTAGCTACAAAAATATATCTTATAAGATTTGTTACTGCATTTGCTTAAAATAATAAATAAAGCATATGACCCCTGATTTCATCCCCATGAAAATTTTATAATATAAAATAATTGAGTTTCATTTTCAAAGATGACTGAATTCCCGAAAAGTTTTAACAATGAATTCTGTTGTATTCTCATAAAATGGGATGTTCTGAAAATATACTAAAATCAGGACAACTATGAACCCTGTTATATTTAATTAAGTTATCACATAACATGATTTATAAATGTTGAAGTTGGCTATTAACAGTGCTATTATTGGCAGCCCTGTAGCTTACTTTCTTTATTCCATGGTTTTTTCATTAACAATGTTCATTGTTTATATAATATCGAAAACTTAATTTTATGTATCATAAACACATATTATATGCATTTTATTATAATAACTATGATTATACCTGTGTAAAGCATCACTAAGAGAATTAGGAGCTACATCAAAGTAGTAACAGGTATTATCAGCAGCAGTATATGCATTACTACTACCACTATGTTCATGTAAAAACTAAAAAGACAAAAGAATATGTTAAATGCAATGCATGAGCTAAATAATAAATCAATAGAAGAATAAATTAATAACAGAAGATAGATTAATAATAAAATAATTGTTAAGTCAATAATTTCTCGCAAAGTGGTATCGGAAGGTGGGGGTTAACAATTGCTAGCAGAAATTATTTTAACAATTAATATTTTTAAAGAATAGCTTAGGACTTATATATATTTATTTGAATTATTTATAAGTAGTGGTGGTCAAGAATCATTATAAATCAACTTGGTTAAATAAAAATAAAACATTTTTGAACGACTTTAAAAGTAAAAATAAAATCTCCCAAAAAAATCAGATTTGGCAGCTATGGGTGAGAAGTTGTAAGAGTGCAGAAAAAGGTCCATCAAATTTTAATTTATGCTGTTCAGCAAGAAATTTATTATTTATGAACTCTCTGAATATATTTTGTTTTATTTCAGATATTTCCTTTTTTTCCATTTTAGCATTTTCAGTTTTAAGTTAGATATATAAAATAACCACTTGTTATGAAAAGTTTTAAATTTTTTATATCACTTTGAAACAATGTATAAAATAACCATTTGATGGCTATTTTATGTATTTCTTATTATTTCCTTTCATAGTGTCATCGAGCTGTTGTATAAGTGTATGTAAAATATTTTTTATAAGTTGTAGTTTCAAAAAAAAATTTCTCAATATTTTGTTTAAAAATTTTGAATTGCGCTTTTTTCTTTCATTTGACTTGAAACTACCAATTACATTAGTTTTTAAGGTTCAGAACTAAATTTAAGAACTTTATCATTGGTAATTTTGATCATATTTTATTATTTTAATTTAATTATTTTCATACTTTATTTAGTTTTTACATTAATCTAAAATAATAAAAAGAAGAATGCTTAAATGTTTGTGATACTTAAATAATTCCCATACCACTAGTGCTCTGAAATTTGAACAGCAGTGAAAAAGGGGAATTTCATCCCCCAATCCTTAAAAAATTTCAATTATAATGTTCCAAAGAAAGAGTTAAAAAATTGAATTTTTTTTCAGTTAAGCATTAGTCTATAGACTATTCTGTTCTTTTCCAAATATTTTTAAGATAATATTATTGATGGTTGGGTAACTCTATTTAATAAAAAACATTCTGTATTATTTTTTCATCAGCTAAGCCTCCCAATGAGGTAAACCGGGTTTGAATTCCAGCGATGGCTGGCAGATATGAATTCTGCATCTGCCTTGCACCGATCTCAGTGCTGACGTGTAATATCCTCAGTGGTAGACGGATTATGGGTAAGAGTCCCCTTGACGTCAGGCTAACCGTGGGAGGTTCTCCTGGTCTTCCTTTCTATGTAATACAAATGCGTGTTAGTTCCATCAAAAAGTCTTCCACAAAGGTAAATTTATCCCAATACTTGATCCAGGAGTTCCCTTGTATTCTGGATTGGGTTCAAAATTACAAGGCTATGGAGTTGAACATTAGTTGTCAGAAACCCACATTTGGGTCGGCAGTTCAAAGATGGTTATAAAATAAAATAGATGTGACCACACCCTATTGTTTATTCCAGATTCCACAGTTTATTTCACACCGCTGAAAATCTTCAGCTTCAAAATTTCTAATTTTGTTCACTAACTTGCACCACACTTATTTTTAAGCAAATGCCGGTCTAGGCCACGCATACTGCTTAGAAGTGCTTGCATGGTGGTATTACAAAGTGCACTACTAACAGATTAATATAATTACAATAAAAATTTTATTTTTAATAAATAAAAATTAAGTAAATTTTAAATGAATTGTCAGTAATAACTGTAATCAACGCAAATTTTTTACTTTCATATCATATTATAAGCATTAAGTCACTGATGACTTGATGTAGGACTCAACGTGTTAATATGCCTTCATCAAACCATTAGAAGAAATTAAATAAAGATGAAAGAAGAAGAGAAAAAAGCAAAATCATGCAAAAAATTATTGGTTACTTTTAAACTAACTTTTTCCTTCATTTCACTTTGTTTTATTATCATAAATTTATTAAAACTTTTAAAATTTGTTTTTAATACTTTTATTGAATAACATTTACTAATTATGTTTGCGATAATTACGTTTTTTTCTCTTATACAGTATTTAGGCCGTTTCATGATCTTTTTCTCTTAATGACTTTATTAATTTTAAAATTTATATACAGTAGGGAACCGATTATCCGGAACGATCGGGACCATCGCTATTCCGGATAACTGATTTTTCCGGTGTTCTGAATCACTACAAAAAGCTGTTTTTTTTATTGTTAAACCCAACTAAAAAAAAAATTATGGAAATAGTCTTAAAAAGAAGAAAAAACGATGAAGTAATACACTAATGATTATTTCCAAAGTGATGGTAAGGTAAACATCTTTCAAAAAAGAAAGAAAAATCCTAAAATCTTATGAGGAAAAAAAATATTTTTTAAAAAAATGGCGGGAAAATTTCTCGAATTTCCTTCCGGTTTCTTGGTTTTCCGGTTTTCTGATTTCTGGATAACGGGTTCTGTACTGTACTATAACTTCCCTTTTAAATAAGTTACCTTAATTTAGATTTTACTAAAATTATTACAATCTTCTTGTAATAATACTAATTCTTTATTGTGTAACGTGACAATAAGCTTAAGTGTCAACAGACAATAAGCATATTGTTTTTAATTACTTCTCTTTCTATCATGGGTTTTGTGGTTTAAATTTTCCAATTAATATTATTAAAGTGTTTATTTTCTAGATGGCAGCACTCAAATATAAATAACTTCATATTTTTACCAAATATATTTTATAACAATTATTTTATTCACTATAGCTATAAGCACATTTTTATTTTTTCATTTTTAAGAAATTTTGTTAACCGTTAGATTAATATATCTATTTTTAAGATATTTTTAATTTTAACTCCATATCGGAAAGTTTTTTTTCTGCTTTTTTCTTTCACTTCAAACCCACTTTCAATTGATTTTTATTTTTTAGTGATATAGATACATTATAAAGAATAGTTTTTATCTTAGGATAATTATTCTTTATTTCGAAATATCCCTACATAAAAAAATGCATCCAGAAGAGAATCTTTATCGTTTCCCAGTAATATAATTTTTTTTTCTAATTGTAATTTAGAGTTTATATGTATATAATTTTTCTTCTTTTTTTTGTATGTGTGGGTAAAAGACTGAGCAAATCCTCCATAAGATGTATAAAAATGAATCTGAAGTATATTTTTTCTGAAGTTGGGAAGAGGTATTTTGAAACTGTATTGTGGCATCTGCACACTAACTCAAACAATGAAGATATTCATTTTCATTGCCATTTAATGGCTTCTTTCTTTTAATTTATTTAAGATTTGAAAAATGATAATTGCCGAAATTTCATGATATGATTAATTTATTTTTAGCCTAAGTTTTATTTATGACTAGCTTTTAAATCCAAGGGATAGTTCCCATCACATAAAATAAAAATTAAAAACTCTTCAGACTATAACCAATTTTTTCATATAGATAGATATATAGTACAGGACCCGTTATCCGGAAATCAGAAAACCGGAAAATCAAAAAACAGGAACAAAATTCGATACATTTTCCCGCCATTTAAAAAAAAAATATTTTTTTCCTCATAAGATTTTAGGATTTTTCTTTCTTTTTTGAAAGATGTTTACCTTACCATCATTTTGGAAATAATCATTAGTGTATTACTTCATCGTTTTTTCTTCTTTTTAAGATTATTTCCAAATACTTTTTTTTTTAGTTGGGTTTAACAATTTAAAAAAAAAATGGTTTTTTGTGTTTTATCGATTCAGAAAACCGGAAAAATCAGTTATCCGGAATAGCGATGGTCCCAATCGTTCCGGATAATCGGTTCCCTACTGTAAATATATATATACTGGTTATTTTATGACAAATAATACAATGGGAAATTTATTTCACTTGACAAAAAGTGCCCTTTTCAATAAATGCACCCTGCCTCTTCTGAAGAGAATTGTGAACACTGGATATTGCATTGATAGAGTCAGAGCAAAATATACCAAAACAATAATATGAGGAACGCTAAAAAGTGAGGCCAATTCGCTAACAATTTAATAGAGTGAAAACAACAAAATAAAACAAAAAGGAACATATAGAGAGGGAAGAGAGAAAGATATCATGAACATATACAAAAATCATTTATAAATATTTCCATAAGTAAGTTACCTGATTACAAAATATGAAATTAAAGCATAATAGAGTGTAGTTACATATTTTTAAAGCACATTCATACTGAAGTTATATATAGTACATAACAGAATATATATATATATATATATGTTTACAAAATTTTTATATATTAACAGAAAAACAAGATAATATGAATTTCAGTGTGGACCCTTAATAGTACTAACTCATATAACTTTTTAAGAGAAGATACACATATGGATAATTAAAAATAATAATACATAGGATAATTAAATAATATATAGGATAATTAAAAATACTATGTTTAAAATTTTTCATTTCCGAAATCATACATATTTACCTTAGTGTAATCATTCTCAACAGGATACTAAAAACAAAATATTAACTGTATTAGTAATATACAATAAACACAATGTGTATAAAAAACACAATGTTAAAAAAGTGAATATGAAAAATGTTGAAATTCATTGAGTAGTCAGTAAAAAAGAATTTAAAAAGCAATTTCTAAGACATTAGAATTTTTTTTTTTTAAATAATAAGCATACTTAATCATTCATAACTTCATTTCCTTTCTAAAAAATAAATTTAATATTTTATATTTAAATGCTATTTTCAGGAGGACTCCTCTAGGCGCCCATTTCACGTCGTGGCTGGTACTATGGTTACGAGGTAAGGTCACTTCGAATAGGGGTGTGGGGTGAATAGTTTTGTCTTAATCTTAGTGTAGATTGTTGTGAGTAAACCAATCAACACCTTCTTTCCTTCATGTCACCCCCATTAGAAATGCGCTTTCAAAGAAACTCAAACAAAGTCATCAAAAAAAAAAACTCACTTTAACCAGGTCAAACAAAGATTTCACAAGCAAACCGAATGAAAAGGAAACACTTAAAACTAAAGAAAACAACGCCCTCTATTACAATGCGCAGATTGAAAAAAGAAATTGGTTCTTTGTATTTCATGTTTTTTCCTGGACTTCTATACAAAACCTTCGGGGTACTGAGGGAGTTACTTTAGGCCTCAATACTTCTCCCTCAATAGAAAAGGTTTTGTGTTATGGCTACCGGAGCCGGTACCCCCTGAAGACGTCGACTTCAGTGGTCACATTTTAATTATTAATATTTAATTATAGTCATTTTTGATTTGTCAGTGCTCATATTTTAAAAAAAATGTCTTAAAGATAATTATGTAATGAGATACAATTTTTAAGGCAAATTAATGATTAAAATCTCAACATTCATGATGTACTAGCAACCAAGGAAAACTGCAAAAAAAAATTTAGGGGGATAATAGAAAAAAATTCATCAAAATATTTAAAAAATCATGGGGTTTTTTTCTTAATTTTACAAAAATACTTTTACTTGTGTTTTTAGAAATTTTAAAATAGAATTTCAACAATTTGTTCAATACCACTAAACCAAAAGTTTTCAGCTTGAAGTTCAGTTTTTCAATATTTCAACTTAATTGTAAAAAATATTAATATTTTGAGATTAATATTAATATTTTGATATTGTTAATATTTTGAGAAGCGCAAACCTAATTATAGCATTCATTAAATTTAAAAATGCTTTTTATTTTTTTATTTTTGTCATGAAATAAGTATTAAAAATCACTACCACAAGAAAAAAATTTTGCCTATTAAAATTAAAAAAATTTATATTTAAAATTTACAAAAGATAATTTTTAATTTGAAAGATATTAAGGAAGGCTGCAAATGCTTCTTTTTAATCCAAGGGTGCCATACCATAGTTAGCAGAAATAAATTCTAAACTCCTGTTTGTGAAAACTGCAACACCATGAAGGAATCATCATAATTGAATGAAATTTAATACACAGTTGAGTGGTAGTGGTACAAATGATTAAAATTTCAAAGCAAACAAACAATAACAAGAGATCGAAATCAGTATTTTGTGTAGCCACCACGCTCCGCAATAAGTGCTGCTACACAACGTGGCATGGAGTCAAGCAAGCTTTGAATGTCTGTCTGAGGAAGAGAATTCCATACTGTTTGTATGCGTACCCAAAGTTCGTCTGTAGAAGCAACAGGACGAGGATTATGAGCGAAGCGCCGAACAACGAAATCCCACACATGTTCAATCTGCGACATATCCGGGTAATACGCCGACTAAGGAAGAAGTTGTACCTGTCGCGATGCAAGGAAGGATTGATCAGTCCTAGCAATATGAGGGCGGGCATTATACTGCTGAAATACAGCATCTGGCAAGGCTTGAAGGAAGGGAACAGCTTGGGGCTGTAGAACTTCACTGATGAACCTGTTGCTGTTCAGATTATCCACAATTCGTAGCAATTGAGATCGTCCATGATATGCTATGGCACCCCAGACCATAACTCCGGGTGTTCGTCCACTGTGGCGTTTGATAATGCACTCCGGAAGGTGTCGTTCACCGGCATAGCGTCTGACACGAATGCGGCCATCATGGTACCACAAATTAAAGCGGGATTCGTCAGAAAACACGACACGCTGCCAATCAGCACGCCAGTCCCTATGCTGGTTGGCCCATTGCTGCCGCAAGCGGCGAAGGTTTAGCGTGAGGGAGATCCTGTATAAAGGAGTCCTTGCGCGCACTCCACGCTGCAGCAGGCGTCTACGAATTGATAAAGCACACAATGAAACACCTGTAGCTATTGACCACCGTGCTGCCAGTTGTCTAGAGGGAGCCGTACGGTCCGTTAGCGAAACGCCGAACATGTGTCTATCATCGAGAGCTGACGTGACATTTCGGAGCCCACTCCCGGATTTCTGAGTCGTCCGACACTCGTCCATCCACTGCTTTCAAACACACATCACTGTGCTGCTGTTACGCTGCACACGAGCGGCTACTGCACGATAAGATAATCCAGCTTCACGAAGGCCGATGATTCTCCCCCGTTTAAACTCCGTAAGTTGTTGAAATCTCGCTCTTTCATCGAATAGGCATAAATAATGACTAAGCTAACGTTTACCACTAGCAGATAACCACCAATAACCATACTCGTCTGGCTACAGCCGTCTATTTATTCGGATCCATCCGCCGTTCAGAGGGCTCTGCTCAGCATATGCATGCGCTACGGGTCTGAAATTCTAATCATTTACATATCATGCTCTACTTTGCATTTCCTGAAAATTTCAGCTCACTTGCGTAAGTCCTTCATGGTGTTGCAATTTTCACAAACATGAGTTTAACATATTTGACGGACGTAAAAAAATTCAATGCATTTAATTTTGATATTTGGAAAGTGATTACTTGCAGTCGTTGTTGCTTATCATTATCAAAAAGAAAATAAAAATCGAATTTTTCATTTTAGAAATGTAAAGAAAGAAACTACATACTTCTTTAAACACTCCTCTTTCATCTGTTTTTATTTTTCAGAAAAGAGGGGGTATATTCAATCTTAAATAATTTGATTGGTTTAAATTAGTTATCATGCAAGGTAGAGACGTCACCTTTTTTAGTATTTATTACAGCTCTTATTAAGATTCCTCACCGTTGGTAGTAAAAATATCCTATTGTGGAAGGATGCATATTTTTTTCTTCTTTTTCACCAAATTGCAATAGGGGTGATATCTATTAAACAGATTCGGAAAACACTTTTTCAAACAGATTTTCACAGCTGATTTAATTTAAGTTAGACAAGCATATCTATAGATAAGACAGCTGGGCTGGGAGTAGCATCATGACTTTTGCACTCGAGTATTTGTTTCTCAAAAAAGATGCAACCTTTTCTGGCCAGTTAGGGGGTTTTAAGTCTCCCTTCCATTACACTACTTTTAACAAAAGGCCCCTTTTGTAATAGGATATGAAGATGCACAAAATGTTTAGCCTAAACTGCGAGCAAAATGCTTGGCCTTGAATTTAAGCATAGGGTGTTGGAAAAGAAGATAGAGGTTTATCTGGAAGAAAACATTTTAGGACTTGCTTTTTGGTCAAATTTAATTTTTTTTTTTTTCGGTAGGAAATATTAAAATTAATTTACTCAACGGTCAAAACTAAACAGAAGCAAGTATTTTAATATTCATAATAATAATAAATAATGGCTAAGTAAAAGAACAATAAAATGAAAAAAATTAGTCAATTTGGTGCCCTTTTTTAGAATGATGCGCTCATGGCAAAATGCCCACTTACCGTACCCTACATATGCTACAAGAGACAGGTCGTACAAAATATAAAAACAAGTGTGGTTACACAAAATTAAGATATTCTGACATGGTGTTTGATCTGTGACATAGTTTGACAAGTATAAACATTTAAACTTATTTCTCTCTGCTTCAGCAGATGCAAACAATTTTATAGACTCCTTAAAATCAATTGCTTTTGTGGTTTCATTTTCAGTTACAGTTCAAAAATACTGCCAAAGAATTTAATCGGTCTTGTGTCATTGTAGCACTTAAATAGGTTTTTAAAGCATTTAATTTTCTAAAAAAACATTTACCACTTGTTACGGATATTGGGATTATTAACAAAATCCTTAAACTTATCCACAAGTTAGGAAAAATATCTTTAAATTTTTACTATGAATCAACTTCAGGAGATTGATTGGAGATATATTTTCGACAGATATGAAATTTCTTTATTTTGTTCAATTTATTCAGAACTAGGAAACTCAAGAATGTGAAATAATACAATGTGTAAATAATTTCAATAGAGTCAATAATTTAGAGAATCAATAATTTAGAGAACATTAAATCTGGGTCTCGCTCACCGTCTCCCTAACCTGGAGTAACGGGCGACTGCCACCATGCCCACCCTACTTTGCACTGTATATATAATTTATCACTCTAAGTATGCTACGTAAAAATGAGAAGATAGCAAAAAGAATTATGTTATAAAAATGTGAAGAAATAAAACTGTTCCATTTAAAGGTTTGTAGGAAAAAATAATTTAACAAAATTAATATTTTGAAGTACAAAACATACCGTTTTTGTTCCAAGAAATAACATATGCTCACAAAAATGAGCTAGACCAGGTAAATCAGGGTCATCTGACATAAAACCTAGAAAGAAGAAAAATGCAAATATATCATTTCTTAATAACAAAAAAACTGACATACTAGTGGTTGTTGTTGCCTATCCTCTTCTGGCCTGACGAAGTCAGACCAGATCCATGAACCAATTTTTAAAAATGTCCAACTTGAAAATAGATAATTCAAGTAAACTGAAACTTGGTATTTTTCACCACTCATTCTGCTAGCTCCACCTAAGAGCCAAAAATACACCAACTACAAATACTTTAAAATTTGACAATTAGTTGATTTGATGAGTGAATCCTAATATAAAAAAAAACCTTTGCAATTATTTTATAAATTTTATATTTAAAAACATATTTTGATTCCACCATGTGAAATTATAAACAAACTTGGGTGTAAATATTATTTAATGTATTACATATTTAACAAACTACAGTTTTAACTAATAGAAAACTAAAAAGATTGTGATATTTAAATAGAATAAATTATGAATTAAATATGCATCATTAAATATCTAATGTCTTAATATAATTCCACTAAATGTATTTTTATTGTCAATTCGGTCATAACAATAAGATTCTTTTTTATTTCAGTTCATTTGATGAGGGATACTTGAAGTATGTTTCTTGTTAGATAAAAAAATTGTCAATAAATTTTTTACTTACCAACTCGAGCATTCAATGCAGCTGCTGATTTATCAGTGGAAGGATCACTTATTAATAATACTCTCATTTTATTACTCAATTCCAATCCCCGATAAGTTCGGTTGTCATACTGAGATTTGATTATGTTATCAAACACACGGGAAACTAATTTGTCATGATTAGCCATTTTCTTTTCAATCTGGAATTAAATTCTCTGAATTAAAAAAACTTAGCAAAGTCAAGATGTTTCCGAAATATATTCCCTTACTACATTTTAAGTGATCTGATACACAAAAATTAAGTTCTGTTCATAGAGCTGAACATACATACAAAGCAAGAACTTATCTGGAATGTCACTTTAATACAGCAGTGTTCTCCCTAAGCGTTTTTTTAATGGCGGTCCGCCCTGCTAGCCAAATAAATGTGCCTTTTTTATAAAAATAAGCCATGATCCCTTAAAAACATTGCATTTTTATTCATATTCCATTTTGAAAAAAAAAATTTTATTCACTACTTAAATAATAATTACACAATGTTAAAATTATCTGTGTTTATAGGTTTAATTCTGATTACTATTACAAATATTTACTTTTTTAGGATTATTCTCAACTAGTTAAATATTTATAAGCAACTTTTTTCATTACCTTTTCGCATGCTTTTATTTTTAAAATTTTCATTAAAAATTTTAATTTATTTAAAATTTTAAAATATTTATTTACAAATTTTTCTCTTATTTTGATATTGAGCGAGAATTACTTTTTTAAATGTACACATAAAATAGTATAGGGTCAGTAATTTAAATATTGTTAGAGATAAAATTCAGTTATTACATAATATTACACATTTTGATAAATTTCTACAGTGTTAAGTGTGTGCCCTTTCAAAACTCAAAGTACCCTTTTCAGAGAGGAAGCGCCCTGCCTTTTTTTATTCCTAGGGAGAACTCTGATGGAGAAATTACTTTAAAACTAAACATCAAATCTTAATTGAAGAACTCTATAACTGAAAAAGAAAAAAAATATTAAGTACAATATATTTTATTTACAATTGCAATAAAGTTGATAATTAATTTAAAGAAAAGTTATAAATAATCTCCATCTTCCCAAGTATTACTAACAAGACAATGAGGAAAGCATATTCTTTCTTCATAAAAATGTAGAAAGCATAAGTTAAATACTGAAAAATGAATCATACAATTAGAGAGAAAAATGAATTTTCAAATCATTTAAAATTGAAACTTTTAATCAATAAGTTATACTATAAATTAAGTAAAAACTGATGAAAACACACCTAAAGAATAAAAAACATGAATTATTATTATAAAAGCCATACATAAAAGTGTATCATAGCAATAAACATAAAAAAAAAGAACTAGTAGGCTATTTTAACATGTAAACTATTTTTTAAATGAAGCATTTTCACTGTCATTTAGAGACATTATCAATTTAAGATTTTTATTCCAATTTGATTTCCAAAAAACGGAAGATTATGTTAAAACATTTTAACAATCACAAAAAAATTCATGCTCTTAATACTTAATAAATGCATGAAATTGAGATCACGATTTTATATTTTGTATAAGAAAGCTATAAAATCTTACACAAAATTAAATAGCCATAAATGCTGCTAAATAGGATTATTTATTCTTTTCGAATATGCTTAGATTTCCATTCTTAGATTCTATTTAGATTTCTATTTTTCTAGGCAAAAAAAAATTTATAATCTGAAACTGAAAAACTAGACTGATAATAACCTAATTGGTTTTAAAAAATCTTTTTTTTTTCTAAACTGGAATTTAATGAGAGAAAAAATTTGAAAGAAATAGAGGATATTTGAGTATCAGAACATGCTTACACCAATTACAAACGCACTAAACTAAAACCATAATCACTAAAAGGATTGTAAATTTCCAAAATGTTCCATAAAAATATGTAGAGGTTTGCCAAAGAGTGGCGACAAGTTATACCTTTTGAGTTGGTCTCTCTCAGTAAAGTTTCTTTTTTTTAGTTTTTCACTGGCTACTGCTTGAAACTAAAAACTACGAGATTATATTAGAGGATTTCCATCTCATGATCTAAAACCAAAAAATCACCAAATCTTGGTGACTTCAAGGCAGTGGCCTGTAGGAAACTAAAAAAACATCAAGGAAAAAGACCAACCAGATGGATATAACTTGTAGCTACTCTCGGGCACGCTTTTAGATTATTTTAGTTCAATTCTCAAGTTTAGAATCCTTTTCGCGCCTAGGCGAATATAGTAAGAGGGAAATATCACAATACGGAAAGATATAAGATTGTTTTGGAGCAGACATTAATAAGTTTGAGAAAAAAAAGGTTTTTTTAAAAAAATTATTAAATACCATTTTTCTAAGTTAAATGAATTTTCAATAAAATAAACATTGTGTGTAATTTTTATTTACCTTATGTACGCACATTTAGTTTTATACAAGTTAGACTAATCAAAATTTATAAAATAGTTTTCAAGAGACTATGTTAGAACAAATTTGCAAGGAGACAAATTAAAATTTGTGAGGATTATGCTGCAGATTGACTCGGTTCATTCTGGTACCAGGTACGTACATATGTATCAATAACAATAATTAAAAAAAAATTACATACATTCGATTCTCAAATAATAAATGTTTAAAAAAAATAAATTTAAAAAAAACACTAAACGGGGATTAAAAGATATTTTTATTTTGCCCAAAATAAATGTTGCAAGCTGCAAATGTTGAAGTTATCATAAACATCAACAATAAACAAGCAATTTTTATTCTCATGGCACTTTTTAAAATATACAAATAGGAGTAATACCTGAATAATTTTAAAGCAGCAATATTTACAATGGTAAAAAATAAGAAATTTTATTACTTTTCAACATTGAACTTTTTTTTTCTTTTTTTTTTTAAGTGTATGCCTGTTAACGAAACAAAACATACAGTAAACGTAAAACAACTATTATGGCAGAAGCTATTGCACCGATCTTCGGTAAAATATCACCACTTCCGACTTATCTATCCGACTTCTGGCAACCGTAGCATAAGTTCGGCTCAGTAACGATATACCGGTCGCTTTTAAGGAAAGGCTCATCACGAATTGAGCACCACTTGATGGACCAGAATGTCGCCAAGTTGCTCTCCACAGCGTTTGTGAAAACAGGACTTAAAACGTTTTTACATCTTTAGCAATGGCTGCAAACGTAATTTTTTAAGAAAAAAAATAAATAAATAAAAAACAAAACATCGGATGCACTCCCAATATTGTTACAGCGATTTCATCAACATTAATAGATAAAAATATCTTCATCATCCGAAATTGTTTTCAGATGCATCATCCGAAGATGAAGTTGAAAAATTTAAGAATTGTCTTTTTTTATAAGGAGGTAAAATAAAGATAATAATAAACTTGTATTTATTGTTCTTTCATTAAAAAGCAAAGCAATTAAAAATTGTAGATATAAATAACCTGTTTATTACCTGCAGATTGTTTAGATGTTACTGAAATATTTAAGTGCATGCCATGAGTTGATAAATTTGTGTTGACAAAAACTTACACAGCATATACTTGTGTAGAACTTAAGTGTATAGAAGTTTGTTTTTTATATTACTATGTTCATAATTATATTTTTGGTTCTTGACAGAAGGAAAGGAATAATAGCACATAATTTATCTACTTATCTTTATTGTTTTAAAATAAAACCTCTCAGTTTTTATTTTCGTTGATTTTTACATTGGATGTCAAGTGAAACATGTATATACAAGATGTTAAACTAAATTGAAAATTTTAGCGCATTCCCTGAATTTCGATTTATGTTTTTACTTTGCTTAATCTTATTCCAGATTTTTTTCAAAAAAATGGATTTCTCATCTCTCATTAAGTCTTCATGCCTCATTTGTATTTATATAATTACTCATTAAAATAGCATTTGTAACTCAAAATTTGAATTGAATGAACATTATTTTGGTGTTGCAGAATTCAGAATGAAAAAAATGCAGAATTACTTCCAACAAATTTTTATAAATAGTGTTAGAATTTGAAATCTTGAGGTCATATTATTCTTTTTATATAATTTAAGCCATGGATTAGCCAAATGCTTTTATATAATTAAATTTGGAGGCAGTTTTAGCTTGCTTCTATGTTAAGTGTAAATAAAAATACATAAACTAATCTTGTACGCTTTGAAAAATGTTATTAATTCCTTCCAAATACATATTAAGAGCAGAGTCGCCATGGCTCAGGGAATAGAGCGTTTGCCTTCCAATGCGGCGAACCGGGTTCGAATCCCAGTCGATACGAATTCCGCATCCGGCTTGCGCCGACCACAGTGCTGACGTGAAATATCATCAGTGGTAGACGGATCATTAGTTAGAGTCCCCTGCCGCCAGGCTTACTCGCTGGTTCAAAACTAAAACGACACATCTGCAAACGTGTAATGCCTGCAGATGTGTCGTTTCAGTTTTGAAGCAGCGAACTGTAGGAGGTTCTCATGGTCTTCCTCTCCATGTAACGCAAATGCGGGTTAGCTCCATCAAAAAGTCCTCCACGAAGGCAAATTTCTCCCAATATTCGATCCAGGAGCTCACTTGTCTTCTGGATTGAGTTCAAAATTACAAGGTTGAACATTAGTAGTCGTAAACCCATAAAATTGGGTCGGCTGTTCAACGACGGTTATAAATAGGAAATAAAATACTGAGAGTAGCCAGCATAGACTCTATTGATAATGAACATTAGAGACACAAATATTCATATACAATTTGCATCAACTGTCAAAAGATTACAAAGTATACTGGTATAGATAATTTCCTAGATAGAAAAATATGGTTTATTTTCACTCAGCAAAAATCTTTTAATTTTATTTAATTTTATAACCGTCGTTGAACAGCCGACCCAATTTTGGGTTTACAACTACTAATATTCAACTCCGTAGCCTTGTAATTTTGAACAAATCCGGAAGATAAGAAAACTCCTGGATCAGTACCCTCAGGGGTATTGATTTGTTATGGGAACATGGAGGACTTTGTGACTCGACAAATTTTACGTGCATCAGTCACCATTTACTATACGGGGAGCCTTCAGCAGGCGGGGATCGAACCCAGGACCTCTTGGAAATAGGTCCAGTGTCCTACAAACCAGGCTATCCCGACCTACCCTCTACCTCTGGTAACACATTCATAAGTAATGTAAACCTGTTTAATGTAAACGTAAAAAGATTTGTCATGCGGTTTACGTGTAAACCTTTTAACCTTAAAACTAGATCAGCGACAATATGATCTATTCTACGCACATTACCCTAATCCAAAACCTTTGAAAACAACCTTCTATATAAAAACCTTAAATCGAGGTTGACTTAGGGTTTTCAAGCGTGAAAAAATACTTTAATAAAGCTAGTCTCAAGGTGAAAATAATCTTAAATCTAGGTAATTAAGGGGTTTTTCTTCATAAAATCTTGTATGCTCAGATAAAATCATGAAATTTCAATGGACAATGCAATTTGATCCTATCGCTTGTGTGACATCAGCTAAAACGTCAATATGGACTTACGTAGCAATACTTTTTAAAAAAAATTTTAAAAAATAATTTCTAATCCTTTTAGGATGAATGGTTTGAAACTGCAATATTTTTGCTTTATTGAAAAGAGGTTTTTAGTACAAACATTTTCGCTACAATAAAACGAAAATTCCCACACAATGTTACATGCTCTCTGGGTTTTATTCGGTATTAATTGTAATATTATGTACAAGCTTAATAAAATAATATTTAAATATTCCGAAGAAAATCGTCATGAGAAAAAAATACAATTGCATATTATTCAATATTCTTTTGATTTAAATATTGTAGTTTAACATTTCTCCTGAGTTTTATAGCAATCTGGACATACACCGTGTATATTCTAAAATATTAAAAAAAATATCTTATAAATGCCATATTTGAAGCTGTAATTGAGAATTTGAAATTTTTCGATATCAAAACCAGTTTTCTTTTCTTAGCTTAATTTTTCGTTTTAAAGATATTTTCATAATAAGTTGTTGTTGTTATAGTTCATTTCTGTCGCACTAGAGCTGCACAATGGGCTATTGGCGACGGTCTGGGAAACATCCCTGAGGATGATCCGAAGACATACCTTCACAATTTTGATCCTCTGCAGAGGAGATGGCACCCCCGCTTCGGTAACCCAACGACCTGCACGCGAAGTCGAGCACTTTACGGTAGAACAGTTTAACGAGGACCAATACAGCACACCCTCGGTCCCTACGAAGACTGATCCAAGTGGTCACCCACCCGCACACTGACAGTAGCCAGAGATGCTTGACTTCGGTAATCTGCTGGGAACCGTGTCTTAGCGATCAGTCCACTGCGGTTCTTTCAGGTTACAGGTTGTTATTTCTTTCAGAAATGAAAGAAACTAAAAATAAGTAACACAATTGCTTAGTAATAAACCAACCACGTTTACCAATTTATTAAATTGTTCAAAATTATTCCACAATTTGTAAATGAAAATTCAGTAATTAGTGAAAAATATGCAGCAGTTAGTGAATTCTTAGGTCTACTTCATAAAGTTAATTGACTAACAGTATGCAATAATTAAATCTATGTTAAATACATTTATTTCAAAATCTTTTCACCATATTATCTGAAAGTTATTTAGAACATTCATACTTAAAAGAATTTAGCAATGAAATGAAAATTAACATGCATTGTGAATATAATATGACCTTTGTAGTTATGACTATGATTAATATGTAATTTGTCCATTTAATTGTATCTATAAAACATGATAGAAATATTTTGACAATTCTTTGCATAAATATAAAAAAATGAGATCTACTATGCAATTTTACATAAAATATTGAAGGAAACCATATATTTCCAATTTCTTAAAAAACCGGTTAATTTTTTTTTTTTAAGTCGTTACTCTCTCTTGTTCTCTTATTTAAAAATGAGGTATTAAATACGCTGGAAATATAACCACTTAATTAAACTAGATATCAATTAAGAAATCTTTAAAATTGTTTTAGTATTATTATGAAGTCGTATACAGATATTAAAGAAAAATATCAAAATCCTTAATACATCTTTCACTATAAACAGAGCTGCATTTTTCAAAATAAAAAATTCATTACGATCCTAAAGAAATTACCGATTCTAGAAAATTCAACGACCTACGTCTTCTGATTCTATTTATAGAAATCTGATAAATTTTAAGTTCGATTAAATTTTTAACTGTTTTTCTGACAGGAATAAAATGTTAACACAAATAAAATATCTTCTCAATCAACATCAGCCATTCTCCTCCCAGACCATCCATACAGGATTGCACGCTGCTGTAAGATAAGATGTGACGCATTAATAGGTAGGATTACCATATTTGCGGTTTTCAAAGCGTATATTCTCGACCGCGCTAAGTGGTGCCAAATGGTGGGTTGACACTATCAAAGTAAGCGCGAGCATTCAAATTTCATCATAAAAGTAAATAAAAAAAAAATAAAAAAGTTGAGAAAAGCAAAATTTTTTGGGAAAAGGGAAAATGCAAAGGGGAAAAAAAGTCAGGCACTGTTGTTGAGAATATGATATATCAAATGAATAATCTCGGCCTGTTTAATGAAGTTTAAGAAATAAAATCACATTTTATTAGACATTTATACAAGCAGTTTAACCATCCCTGTGATTCTATTAAAGAAAAGAGGGAAATTGTTGTTTTTAAAATTAAATAAATATATAAAAAGTTCCCTGACGAAGGTTTATAAGCCTATTTTCAGCACACAAGCCTGAAAATTTATGTAATAGCAATAACCAATAACTGTAATTCCTAACTTTATTTAAATAGCGATAATTGCGCCAATTGTGGGTATCGGTAAAAGGTTGTTAACTATGACGTATTTCCCTAAGAGAATTCTAAAGTTACTTAGGGTCAATTCCAAAGATGCGTTACCTAGAACTTTTCCAGTTTCGTGGGGTGAGGAAGCTCGATCCTTATACGCTACCTTAACGGTTACAATCAAGTTAATATCAGAAAAATTCAGAAAAATTATTACTCAAGCCCATTCTCGCTGCATGTAAAACA